TTTGGTGCGTCGAGGAATACAATCCGTGCGCCTTTTGTTACTTACAGCCTTGGGAGGGCGAGGGAGAAAGTGGAAAATCAGGTCTGCTGGCTTTGAGAGCCCCGGTCCCTGCGGGCCACAGGGACGGTCTCTCCTCCCAACCAGTTTCAAAACGCACGCCTGAAGCCGGATTCGTCACAAGGTAACGTTGGGCCGTTAGTAATTATTTGACGCAATCCAAACAGCGCTGTTTGTTGCTGCTCGCCTTGGCATTTGAGGGCCCTCTGGGCCTTCGCTCGGCGAAATCTGCGATGCGTTTCACACGCGCTCGGCCACTCTGCCGGCCGTGTGCGGCCACTGATGTGGTTAGTGATGTGCGCGCGTTCCTGGGTGGTGACCCACAGAGGCTGATGCTCGCCCGTTCGTTTTGATCGTCCACCTGTGCCCCCCCCCCCCCCGAACCCCAAACCTTTCATGCGCCCCCCCCCCACCCGACCCCCCTCCTCAGCATACAGACAGCAGCGAGGAGGCCTGGAGCGCCGAGTCATGGGGTGTTTCTCGTGGCTCGGACGGAGAAAGTCGTCCGGGCGGAGGACAAAGTCGGAGGGGAACACAGCAGGTGCCCCTTAACCTCTCCCCGCGGCCCCCCCTTCCCGCCACCCTCCATGGGTGTAGTTGTTGATAGCTGAGTGACTGGGTGGGCCAGCTGAATGGGTGTCTGGGTGGCAGAGTGGTCATGTGGCTGGGTGGCCAAGTGCTTTGAGTGGCTGGATGATAGAGTGGCTGGGTGGATGAATGGCTGAGTGACTGAGTGGCAGGGTGCCGAGGTGTCTGAGTCACTGGGGAGCACGGTGGCTGGGTGGCTGGGTGGCTGAGTGGCTGGCTGGTATGGTTGCTGGGTGGCTACGTGGATATGTTGCTGGCAAAGTTGCTACCAGTGTCAAGGACTTGTTGTACTGGACTGTTTCATCTCATCCACAAAGTTCAAACACCACATCGCTGGACAAAATATTTATTGTCCCACTCATTCTTTCCAAAGTTACTTTAACCTTGCTGAGTTAAATAAAAATATAACTTATCTGCTGTTTGTATGTTGAACTTCTTTCGTACCGTACATATCCAACTGCTAATCGGAGGTGCTGTACAGTACGTTTATTGGTGATCTCTTGTTTCTAGCTTTAGAACTCCCTTCTATCATCTCTTTTCGCAAGTCACGATAACATCGCTCAATTCAAGAAACGTGTGATTTATTCTTTGCTGCAACACCATCATCATCAGTGCTCTCGGTTGGAAGCCACCTTATTTCACAGAAGTTTGTGTGCCTATGTTCAGCAAACAAAACATACAAATGTTTTCATGACGTGTGATGTAAACTGCTCCGAGACACCCCGGAGGATCGGCGGGCGGCTCTTATCAAAACCTCACCGCGATCATCGTTACCATGATCGTGACGACCCACACGAGTTCCGCTGACCTATCATCTCGCCCACACAGCGGCCAGCGGCAGGGAGCCGGCGACCACCGGACGGAGCACCGAGCCCCGCGGGGAGCCTCCTCGCCCCTCCGTGACCTCCGCGGCTTCCGCGACCAGCGGCGATGGGGCGGGCAGTGCCTCCGGCGGCCCGGTCTGCATGAGCGGCAAGGCCGGCGTGAGCCTCCGCCACGACCTCGCCTGCTCGACGTGTGGGCTCAACTCCATCTGACCGGCCGACGAGAGGACGGCCCCAACGTCCGTGCGGGGCGATGACGTTTTCCCAGCGCCAACGACGTGAGCAGGTCGAGAGGGACACTTCAAGCGGAGTGCCGCGTGCGTGGGGTCAGGATCGCCGCACCGCCGGAGGGCCGCGGCGACGCAGGGTCACCCCAATCGCAAACAGAGAATTTTTAAATCGTCCCGGTTTTATTTTTGTCGCGCTTATAGGCATCGCCTCACGAGAAGAAGACATTTCTAGAGGGAACTCCCCGCAGTGAGCTGTGCACTGCCTTGCAGCGGAGAAGGCCCCAGTGGATGACGTCACACAACTACTTCTGAAGACATTTCAATAGCGTATCATTATCCACACTGGGGACACATTTTTATTTTAATATGACGGTTGTTTGTTGCATGTCAATGCAACCAAAAAGTTAATGCTTAAACATGAATATTAGCTGAATTAAGTGACAAAGCCCAACTTAACATGTTTTTTTTTTACAATAATCGGTCACCCCGCTCAGATCATCAACTCAATACAGTACACTCGGGTACCCGGTTTAATCGCGGGTGATTATACAGATTCTGTTCTGGGGTCTCGCCGGCGACGGCGTCAGCGTCCTGACTTGGTCTCGGCTGACTGTACCACCAGGCCATCTCATCCTTAAGGGAGGTGGCCGCTGGGCCGAGTATTACCCACGTGACCAATCGACGCAATTACGTAAGAACGTGATTTTGTTGACACCCTATGTGACTGCCATTCACGTCACTTAATGATTGCAGTCCACAGAGCTGGTCCTCGACTTCAAGAGCTCGGTGACTCACACGGGCGTCAGGTGAGATGTTGAGAACAAGACGGCATTGCTGCGATATCGTACGCTCAACTTCTACGTGACTGTCGCGTAAGCCCAAATGTTTGGCTTGTAAATTTTGCGCTATTGTATACAAATTGAACCAACCATGATTAAGCTAATAGTTCCCCAATTGCAAATGAACGTCGTAAAAAATGTAATTCTTCACGCGATTAATGTTCACTTCTGAAAGCTACGCGTAATGTAATGGTGCCCTTCCGTTGATCCAGATGAGCCTCGATGAATCTGAAGATTGATTTTGAGGAGGGTTCTGCGCCGTTGGGATGTTTGGCCGCATCCCATTACCGAGCGTTTGGCTTTGCCTGGGAAGAACCTGGAGAAAAACCACCGCGCAATCCGGGGGGAATAAGGCTGAACGCTCCGCACGCTCACCTTGCGACCCTAGTGGGTGGGGGGGGGGGAGTTTCACAAATCTCTCCGTGATACACCAACCCTCACCTATTAACTAGCAGATCACAGGCGGGCCACCACAGTGCCCGGTTGATGCACATCCAACATCGCAATGGGATAATACAATTTTGATCAATTTTTTTTTATATGATAAAACAATAAAGCTTATGTGATACACAGCGTGCACATGGTTTGTGATCTATTCTACGTTTATAACATGGCCCCCTAATGTAGCACATTCTTTCATGAGACGTGTCGTTTGTCAGTCGGTGTCAGCACCGGAGTTATTTCCATCGCACGGGAGACCGTAAGGAACGACACCGGTGATGTCATCGAGCGCGGCAGAACATCAACGCCCCGATGGGCACATTTCGGGAATTTAAAGACGTGAGCCACAGCGGTGCCGATTGTGGACATGCACCTCAAACTGTGGATCTCATAGTAGACCCACTGGAGTCTGCGATCCTTCAACGGAGGGGGAGGAAGAGCAAAAGTACAACCAACTCTCTACGGAAGCCCTCTCGTCCTGGCTAGCAGAGAGTGGCACCCAGCATCTGACACTGGAATGTTACTACCATAAAGCTATACAAATCTGGTAACACACACACTGGATTATAAGACGCACCCTCAACTCTTTAAATTACAGGGGAAAAAGTGCGTCTTATAATCTGGAGAATACAGTGACAGGGCAAGTGGTAAAAACTCTGCGCCTCGCAGCAAGAAAGGACGTGGGTTCGAGACGGGTGCGTCTCTGCGTGGAGTTTGTCCGCTCCCCGTCTGCTCTCCGTGGGTTGGTGTTCTGTGAGTTTTCCAGCTTCCCTCCCAGAGCCGAAAAACCCTCAACATACAATATTACTGCGATTATAAAACAACAAAAACAACACATTCCAATACTGAAAACTTACCGGCAAATTACTCAACTGGTATTACACTCAGCAGCAGCAGCAGCAACATCGCTCCCTCGACTGTGAACTTGACATGAGCCTCTTGCAAAAAATAAGTCCTGGCACTTTGCCGGGGGTAAATGAGCAGACTAATAACAATGACAAATGTCGTGCTTGTCATTTATCTACAACTGAACAATTTTTTTAATTTTACCAGGTAAGGCCCACTGAGCTATGTAGCTCTTTTTGCAGAAGCGACCTGGCCACAAATGATAGCCCAATCAAGTGGCTTACCATTTAGAAATGGGGAGAGAGACACAGACTCCAAATATACAGCGGCAGGCGTCAAGGTCGGGATTTAACCCATGACGTCCTGCATAGCAGGCGAGGGAGTTAACATCTTGCCATTGTTTATATATATTTTGTTATTTTGTTGTTTCTCTTCAACGTGACTTTACCGAAAAAACTAAGAATATTGTTAAAGTTGTTATTTGTCCTTGCCCACCACCCACTGACGACTGCCATCATCATCATCATGAGCAGCAGGCCATCAGTTGTTGTGTTTAGTTGATCGTCCTTGCCCCGGCACCTCCGATTAGCACGGTTGGCTACGTACGGTGCGAAAGAAGTTCAACATTCACGCACAGTCGCCACGAGTTGAGTCAAGAAGGACGGGGAGCGTGGCGCCCTCTCGTGGCGATGACGGCGCCGGCCACCACCACGACACCACCACCACTACGACAGCCCAGGCGGTTTGTGGTCGCCTGGGTAACGCCGTTGTTACACACACAGACACACACACACAGAGACAGAGAGACACACAGACACACACAGAGAGACACACAGAGAGACAGAGAGACAGACACAGAGAGACACACAGAGAGATACAGAGAGACACAGACAGAGACACAGAGAGACAGAGAGAGAGACACACACAGAGAGACACAGACAGAGACACACACAGAGACAGACAGAGACACAGAGAGAGACACACAGACACACACACAGAGACAGAGAGAGACATAGAGACAGACAGAGACACAGAGAGACAGAGAGAGAGACACAGAGAGACACAGACAGAGACACACACAGAGACAGAGAGAGACAGACAGAGACACACACAGTGAGACACAGAGAGACAGAGAAAGACAGACACAGGGAGAGAGAGACACAGACACAAAGACAGAGAGAGACACAGACAGAGACACACACAGAGACACAGAGAGACACAGACAGAGACACACAGGGAGACACAGAGACAGAGACACACACAGGGAGACACAGAGAGGGTTCGTGAGTGGCGGCTCCCGGGAAGTGAAGTGGAGTGAAATCGCGGGTATCGAGGACTTTCCACGGGAGGCGAGGGTACGTAGTGTATAGTAGTGTGTGTGTAGTGTGTGTGTGGTGTGTGTGTGTAGTGTGTTTAGTAGTGTGTAGTGTGTGTGTGTAGTGTGTGTAGTGTGTGTGTAGTGTGTGTGTAGTGTGTGTGTGTAGTGTGTGTTTAGTAGTGTGTGTGTGTAGTGTGTGTAGTGTGTGTGTGTAGTGTGTGTAGTAGTGTGTGTTTAGTAGTGTGTAGTGTGTGTAGTGTGTGTGTGTAGTGTGTGTTTAGTAGTGTGTAGTGTGTGTGTGTAGTGTGTGTAGTGTGTGTGTGTAGTGTGTGTGTAGTGTGTGTGTGTAGTGTGTGTTTAGTAGTGTGTAGTGTGTGTAGTGTGTGTGTGTAGTGTGTGTGTGTGTGTAGTGTGTGTGTGTGTGGTGTGTGTGTGTGTAGTGTGTGTGTAGTAGTGTGTGTTTAGTAGTGTGTAGTGTGTGTAGTGTGTGTGTGTAGTGTGTGTGTAGTAGTGCGTGTAGTGTGTAGTAGTGTGTGTGTAGTGTGTGTGTGTAGTAGTGTGTGGGTGTGTAGTAGTGTGTAGTGTGTGTGTGTAGTAGTGTGTGTGTAGTAGTGTGTGTAGTGTGTGTCGGCCTTCATAGGTGCTCGCTAACAGCACTTGCCCCTACAGTCTGTTACAGGCTATATGGGGGATCTTTGTCTTTGTAGTGTGTGTGTGTAGTAGTGTGTAGTAGTGTGTGTGTGTAGTAGTGTGTGTGTGTAGTAGTGTGTGTGTAGTATATGGGTCTCTGTGTGTCTGTGTCTATGGGTCTCTGTGTGTCTGTGAGTGTCTGTGTCTATGGGTCTCTGTGTGTCTATGGGTCTCTGTGTCTATGGGTCTCTGTGTGTCTGTGGGTGTCTGTGTCTATGGGTCTCTGTGTGTCTGTGGGTGTCTGTGTCTATGGGTCTCTGTGTGTCTGTGAGTGTCTGTGTCTATGGGTCTCTGTGTGTCTATGGGTCTCTGTGTCTATGGGTCTCTGTGTGTCTGTGGGTGTCTGTGTCTATGGGTCCCTGTGTGTCTATGGGTCTGTGTCTATGGGTCTCTGTGTTTGTGGGTGTCTGTGTCTATGGGTCTCTGTGTGTCTATTGGTCTCTGTGCGTCTCAATAAGTCTTTATGGGTTTACTATATAGTCCCTAGTTTGGGTTGCATGGCCACAATCGCATCACTGTGGCTTTAATATTTGTTATGTATATACATATGTACATTATAATCATGCTACCAGAATTATAGTTTTATTGATGTTTATTCCTTTGCCAATCCACTGCTGGATGAAGGCGTCAGACGAACGTTATCTTAGTTAACAATGTATTATGTGTTATTATTACGTGTTATTATTAAGTTAACAATGTGTTAGTATTATAATGTGTTAGTATTATTACATTGGGCCTAGAGTGTTTGGCGAATTGCTTTTATCCGCTCTACCGTTTACAATCGCCCGGCGTGGTCCGCGAGTTTAGTTTCTAAAACCACAGAGCGGATAGGCGCGCGCCCGTTGGTGAGTGGTGAGGCGATGGCTGGTGAGGGGTGAGTTGGTGAGTGGTGAGTTGGTGAGTGGTGAGTTGGTGAGGGGTGAGTGTGGGGTGAGGCGATGGCTGGTGAGGGGTGAGTTGGTGAGTGGTGAGTTGGTGAGGGGTGAGTTGGTGAGTGGTGAGTGTGGGGTGAGGCGATGGCTGGTGAGGGGTGAGTTGGTGAGTGTTGAGTTGGTGAGTGGTGAGTGTGGGGTGAGGCGATGGTTGGTGAGAGGTGAGTTGGTGAGTGGTGAGTGTGGGGTGAGGTGATGGCTGGTGAGGGGCTAGTTGGTGAGTGGTGAGTTGGTGAGGGGTGAGTGTGGGGTGAGGTGATGGCTGGTGAAGGGCTAGTTGGTGAGTGGTGAGTGTGGGGTGAGGCGATGGTTGGTGAGAGGTGAGTTGGTGAGTGGTGAGTGTGGGGTGAGGTGATGGCTGGTGAGGAGCTAGTTGGTGAGTGTGGGTGAGGCGATGGTTGGTGAGTTGGTGAGTGGTGAGTGAGTAGTGAGGCGATGGTTGGTGAGGGGTGAGTTGGTGAGTGGTAAGTGTGGGGTGAGGCGATGGTTGGTGAGTGGTGAGTTGGTGAGTGGTGAGTGAGTGGTGAGGCGATGGTTGGTGAGGTGTGAGTTGGTGAGTGTGAGGGTGAGGCGATGGTTGGTGAGAGGTGAGTTGGTGAGTGGTGAGTGTGGGGTGAGGCCATGGTTGGTGAGGGGTGAGTTGGTGAGTGGTGAGTGTGGGGTGAAGCGATGGTTGGTGAGAGGTGAGTTGGTGAGTGGTGAGTGTGGGGTGAGGCGATGGTTGGTGAGGGGTGAGTTGGTGAGGTGGTGAGTTGGTGAGTGGTGAGTGTGGGGTGAAGCGATGGTTGGTGAGAGGTGAGTTGGTGAGTGGTGAGTGTGGGGTGAAGCGATGGTTGGTGAGAGGTGAGTTGGTGAGTGGTGAGTGTGGGGTGAGGCGATGGCTGGTGAGTGGTGAGTGTGGGGTGAGGCGATGGTTGGTGAGAGGTGAGTTGGTGAGTGGTGAGTGTGGGGTGAGGCGATGGTTGGTGAGTGGTGAGTGTGGGGTGAGGCGATGGTTGGTGAGAGGTGAGTTGGTGAGTGGTGAATGTGGGGTGAGGCGATGGTTGGTGAGAGGTGAGTTGGTGAGTTAATTGCAGGCGAGTGTTGGGGGTTGCGTGGGTGGTGAGTTTTAATCGCCTGATCAAAACTCACCTGCAGGCCAGGCTACCCACCCGTCTAACAACAATAATAATAATAAACATACGGCTGATGACGAGCACATCAGCCATGATCAATCCGCTGTTGGATGAAGGCAGCCCCTACCCGGCAGGGGTCGGCAACTTGTGGCTCGCGAGCCAGATGTGGCTCTTTTGATGACTGCATCTGGCTCACAAGTAAGAAATGTCAGCAAAGATTTATATGATAAGTCTTATCGTGTTAAGAAATGTCAGCTAAGATTTATTTGATAAGTCTTATCATTATGAGACCTCCTTTGCCAGAAACAAGATATAGGAATAGGTTTTACCCTTTTAACTGGCACAAAAACTGACACCTTTATTCAAGGCATCATGTTTGCAATAACCACAACACAAGCAGTCAAAATGCAAACAAAAAAGACAACTCTGATAATAATATGCACTGTCTTTGAATACTATGATAGTGCGCTGTTTTTGAGTTGTACGCCTTTTGGCGTCTTCTGGTCCAACACCAATGGAGACGAAAGGGCTCTAAGAAAAGCCGTCTCGGGTGTGGACCAATCAAATTTAAGGACAGTGTATATTATTATTGGAGTTTTCTTTTTTGTTTGCATTTTGACTGCTTGTGTTGTGGTTATTGCAAACATGATGCCTTGAATAAAGGTGTCAGTTTTTGTGCCAGTTAAAAGAGTAAAACCTATTCCTAAGTCTTATCGTGTTAAGAAATGTCAGCTAAGATTTTTTTGCGAGCCAGATGCAGTCATCAAAATAGCCACATCTGGCTCACGAGCCACATGTTGCCGACCCCTGTCCTACGGTCTAACCCAAAGGCGTGGCCAGTCAGTGGCGAACCCCCCCACTGACTCTGCCTCCATCCCTCTGGTCCGCGCCCCGCTCGCTGTTTTCGCGTCAAGCTCCCAGGATGTCACTCTTTGAGGGAGTGAGCCTGTTGCCCTTCACAGTGGGACGAGATGGAGAGGAAAGCTCCTTGGCCACGTAAATATGTCACGGTGGCTAGGTGATGTTAACAACCTCGCCTGGTATGCAGGAGGTCGTGGCTTCGATCCTGACCCTGACGCCTGCTGCTGCTGTATATTTGGAGTTTGCGTTTCTCTCTCTCATCATCATCATGGTGGCTAGGGGATGTTAACTACCTCGCCTGGTATGCAGGAGGCCGTGGCTTCGATCCTGACCCTGACACCTGCTGCTGTATATTTGGAGTTTGCGGTGTCTCTCTCCCCGTGGTCGCGTGGATTTTTCTACCGGGCCATCCGATTTTGCCCTCCACATTTAGGATCAACATCACCACGCGTTTAGAGTATTTAGCTGCTTTGCATTGCCACATAAGCCACTTCGTTGAGCTATCTGAAAAAGAGCTACATAGCTCAGTGGGCTTTACCTGGTAAAATAAAAGCACTCGTAGTATTCTAGTACTGTCGTGGTAAATGTGCATACCATCAAAGGAGTGCGACTAATGGGTCACCACATTATTTGGTGATGCTGCTGCATTGGCATTGGTGCTCAAGAACAATTAACACAATGAAACATCGTCGATAAAACTGTAGCCTCAAGAGTGAAAACACAACAAGTAACGTTTCGGGCAATGGCTCTTCTTCATGGCAGACCTGTTTACTAAATGTTTGCACAGACGTGAAACACCTGATCGATAGAACGATGCCTCAATCAACCTTCCTTTCAAACAATGATAAATCCGACTCGGTGACCCATACAGGCCCCATGAGCTGATCATAATCGATGTAAATGATACATTCTGACATACTAAATATATTTGCATCGGTAGACTTTGGCATAGTTGTAGTCCTAATCCCGGATCTAAACCTATATCTAACCCTAGGCCTAGCTCTGCCTGTATGGTGAACCCTAGCCCAGTTCTAACGTCGTCTTGAGCCTGAATTTTGTCTCTCTTCATGGCTTGCCATCCTGTGTTACACCAGCCGTAGGGTCAATGGGAGGACTACTACTCGTAGCTGGTTGGCTATTTGGTTAGGGTTAGGATCAGTAGGAGGGTTAGTACTCGTGGTCAGTCGGCTAGTTCGTGCTCGGGTCAGTGTGAGGAGTGGCTGGTTGGCTGGTTGGTGAGGTCTAGGGTCAGTGAATGATGGCTCGTTGACTAGGGTTCGGGCAAGCCGAGTATTTGGCTGTTGTTGCTGCTGCTGTGCCACTTTCTCTTCCGTGCGTCCCCTCGCCACCAATTTGCGTGGCCTTCTCAGCGTGGGCGCGCTGTCCACGTCTGATGCACACACAGCGCCCCACGATGGACGGAGAGGCGGCGAGTCGGGGGCCCGGAGGTCGTGTGGCTGCACCCCCAGGGGGACAAACGCATCTGTCCCCCGTGGACGCCCTGTGCGTCTCCCTCATTCTTGAGGACTGCCTCCACCAGCTGGAGATCCTCGGGTGCATCGCTCCATGCGCCCCCGCCGTGAGTATCGGTGTCGCCGTCTCTTCACGGAGGCGACTTCGCCTGCTCGCGTCGTTCGTGCCCGCGCTGCGTTTGGCGACGCTCCAGCGCGTCCGTGGGCGTTTGGAAGCGCGCGTTGTGTGGCACGACGAACCCGGCCCCCCGAGTTCGATTCCTCCACACGGCCCAACACCCAGTGACGATTATCTGAACCGGTCCTGGGCCTCCCCTAGGTCAACTCAGCCTCAAAGGAGTAGCCGGTACGGTGTGTAAACATCGCCACTGGGGAGACAAAGGCGGCCGGGTGTGGTGTTGGCCACCCACCCCATCGTGTGCCGTGCCGGCCTTTATAGGTGCTCGCTAACAGCACTTGCTCCAACAGTATGTTAGGGCTATACGGAGGATCTTTGTCTTTGTGAAGCGTTAGTGTGGTGATTGGCGTACCGCACATTTTTAACCGGTTCTGGGCCTCCCCTAGGTTGACTCAGCCTGAATTGAGTTATTGTTATATTGCATAAATACCAGCACTGTGGAGATACAGGCGGCCAGGCGTGGTCCTGACCCACACCAGTTCCCTCGTGCCCCGTGTCGACTTTCGTTGGTGCTCGCTAACAGCACTTGCTCCATCTGTCTATGTAGGCTACATGGGGGACCTTTGGGGCCGTCCATAAATGACGTCACGCGATTTTGACCCCTCCCCCCCACCCATCGTCACACGGCGTCACAAAAAGTCAGACCCCCCTGAAATATGACGTCACAAACCTCTGCCCCCCCCGCCCCCCCCAAAAAAAACATACTTCGAATCGCTTTAAACTATTGTCATTGTGGTGCGTATTTAATGTGCCGCTGCACTCTGATGTTGTAGGAGAAAACATTTATTAAAAAAGTCTATTTAATTAAGTAGAACGTGTTGTCTATATTTATTTAAAGTTGCGCATTTTGATGTGACGTCACATTTCTCAAACCCCCCCCCCCCCACTCGTCACACATCGTCACAAATGTCTGACCCCCCCCCCCCCTATTTGCGTGACGTCATTTATGGACGGCCTCTTTGTCTTATATGTAAGGGGTGCAGTGATTTGCACACCACCTCATCCTAGTCACCTGGGTTCGATCTCTGGCCATGGATATTACCAGTAGAGAGTCGGATATGAACCTGTGTCTAGGCCTCGGACTTAAATATGAGTACCAGATGCACTTATATTTATGTCCGAGATGCACTTTGCAAATACCAGGTGCACTTTGCAAATATCGGCACTGGGAATACGAAGGCGATTAGTCATTCTGCTGGCCACAAAACATTCTCTTGTAGTCTCATATGCAGCAGAGCAGATGGGAAAGTGTTGCCCACCTGCCGTGTTGACGAGAGGTCACTGGACGGCGCTCAGAGGTGTCTGCTCAGTGGCTACACTGGTGCCTCCACAGCAAGGAGGACCTGGGTTTGATTCCCAACTCGGGCGCCTTTCTGCGTGGAGTTTGTTATTTCCCCCTTTTCTCCACGTTCTCCGGTTTCCTTCCATAGCTAAACACATTTATATATAATACACATTTATAATACACATATATTATACACATATATAATACACATTAATATATAATACACATATATAATACACATTTATATATAATACACATTTATAATACACATATATTATACACATATATAATACACATATATATAATACACATATATAATACACATTTATATACAATACACATATATAATACACATTTATATATATAATACACATTTATATATAATACACATTTATATATAATACACATTTATAATACACATATATTATACACATATATAATACACATTTATATATAATACACATATATAACATATATAATACACATTTATATATAATACACATATATAATACACATTTATATATAATACACATATATAATACGCATTTATATATAATACATATATAATACACATATATAATACACATTTATATATAATACACATTTATATATAATTGGTCTTGGACAAAACAACCCAGTGCTGAAAGATTACCCGCAGACGAACTTAATTGGTATTTACACACTGCAGTGTTGTCACCCCCCCCCCCTCCTGAACAATGCTGATACTTCCCTGGGTAAACAAGCGTAATAATAATACTAAGCCCTGTAATATCCACTTCTTTGGGCTGTTCTCTAATACAGGATGATGCCTTGCTCATGGGGAGCTGCCTTTATCAGGTTATAACTAAAATACCCTAATTGATGAAACCCTCTTCAAGTCAAACAGTGGCAGCTAGGTCACGACACACAGGGAGTGCCCCGGTGGCGAAATGTTAGCTGCCTCGCCCGGTATACAGGAGGTCGTGAGTTCGATCCCGACCCTGATGCCTGCATATTTGGAGTTTGCGTGTTCTCCCTGTGGTCGCGTGGATTTCTCTCCGGTTTTGTGTTTGGAGTATTTGGCTGCTATAAATGTCCACATGATGATAAGGCAATTTGTTGAGCTATAATTTGTGGCAAGGTTACTTCTGGAAAATAACTATTTAGCTCAGTGGGCCTTACGTGGTAAAATAGAAAAGTTTAGTTTACAAAGCACTTGCCTGTGCTTGTGATTCTGAACAATGTCGCAGAAGATTCCAGGGATCCGGACAAGTACGGACCAGGAGTTCCGTGATGCCCCGGGACAAGATCCCATCCCGTCTGACACGCTGCGCAAGGTGCAGGCCGACAGGTGCGTGCCTGCCTGCGCGTGCGTGTGTGCGTGCACAGGCATGTGTGCGCGCACAAGCATGTGTGCGTGTGTGTGTGCGCGCACAGGCATGCGTATGCGTGTGTGTGTGCGCGCACAGGCATGTGTGCGCGTGTGTACGAGCGTCTGTGCCTCCGTGGGGAGTGGTATTGCGGAGGTTTAGTGGGCTGCGTTACAAACCTGTGACAATTATTTAAACTGTCCTAGGTCTCACCTAAGTCGACTCAGCCTCAAACGAGTACGTAGTGCGGTGTGTAAACATTGCCACTAGGGAGATAAAGGCGGCCGGGCATGGTGCTGGCCACCCACCCCCTCATGTACAGTGCCGGCTCATCAGTGCTCACTAACAGCACTTGCCCCAAAGTTGGTCAAGGCTATACGGGGGATATTTGTCTTGTCTTCTATACCTCTGCAGATAAATGTGGGGAGTGGTATCGGGAGTGGTTAGTGCACTGCTCAACGAACACAGTGACCCACGTTCGATTCCCGCTCACGGCCACACATCAGTGACTACATTTTATTCCAGATGTGCGACTGGTTTTGTGTCATGGGATAGGTCATGGATGACACCAGTAGCAAAATGGGGGGTGCCGTGGTGGCTATATGTTAACAACCTCGCCTGGTATACAGGAGGTCGTGGGTTTGATCTCGACCCTGAGGATCCATGTATATTTGGATTTTGCATGTTCTCCCTGTGGTCATGTGGATTGTTCTCTGGGTCCTCTGGTTATTCCCTCCACATTTAGAATCAACATGCGTTTTGAGTATTCGGCTGCTATAAATTTCCACGTGATGATAAGCCACTTCGTGGGGCTATCATTTGTGGCCAGTTCGCTTCTGAAAAAAGAGCTACGTCGCTCAGTGGGCCTTACTTGGTAAAGTAAAAATAGTTTAGTCTAAAATCGGGATCTAAAATAAACAACCCGTTGCTGTTCCTCGGCGTCGCAGGCGGTTTGCGGAGGCGGTGATTGCGGAGACGCTGCAGGAGGTGCGCGCGGGCGGCACGTTCCAGAGCCTGCTGAGCGCCGTCGCGTCCGAGAAGGAGAAGAGGGACGCCCACGACGCTGCCATCGCACGGTTCGCCCAGGATCAAGCTCGCTAACACGCTCGCTCGCTCGTTCGTTCGCTCGTCGCGGCTACGCGCAACGACACCGCGGCTTTTATAACTATTGTCAAGCCGCCAGCAGATGAGGGGATTCCCCACGCCGTGTTGGTCACGTGAGTTTTCCTGCTAACATAATTCACAATGCCGATTGGTGCTGGCTGGTGAGAGGTAGAGAGGGTTGGACCGGTTCTGACATCGCTTCCCGGCAAAGTTGGCCGTCTCAACGCGAGACGTCGCTGGGTTAACGGCACGGCGTGCTCACCCCTGTACCGCCGGAAAATGCGGTTTCTGTTTCCGCGTCGTCAGGGAGGAAGAGGCACGGAAGAGAGTGGCGGCCCTGCAGAAGGAAATCTACGACCTCAAGAAGGAGAAGGAGAACGAGCTGCAGGTGAGCCCCACGCACGCGCGCACACCGTGTCCCGTCGCTCAAAGCCGCGTGGCATCGGTGGCTCATGGGTCACAGACGCTGGGCCGGCGCCGCTGAGATCCTGCGTTCGGAAAATCAGCCAAGCTGCTCGTGATTAAAGCGGGTTCTCAAGTGTGGCGAGTTCGTGGTTTCAGCGTGGTCACCAAATAAATTAAATCTTTACAATAATAAAAAATGATAAAATAAAAATGTAAATTACTATAATTAAATAATAATATCAATTATAACAAATTAAAAACCTATTGCTGTAAATTTGGTATGGCAATTTTCATAAATTTCGGATCTGAGATAATTTGATATTCACTGTGGGTCATAGCCATTTTTTTTTGCAAAAGGCTTTGACCCACAGTGCCAGTGACTGCAGCCACCGAAACCAAACAATGGACCACATTGCAAACAACTGCATTCGACACCGTCTCTCCGACGGACTGGAGAATATTGGCCACACTGCTCCCGAAGCCATCGCATGGCTCACACAAAACTTAAACCTGGATGTGCAATTTAGACGTAACTTGCCATACGCTAGAAGGAGATTGCCTAAGGTTGTTTACGAAGGAAGGCGCTGCTACGTTTCACAGACACAACCTGCGGTGGCTCCACAGTTTGGGGCGAAGATGCCATGTGTGCTCCCAGTTGAGCAATCCCAATAGGTGTGATTGTCATGCAACAAAGACTCGGTGGGAAAGTGCCGACCCTCTGCTCTGTGTGCCAGCGGCCACTTGAAGGGAACTCAGAGGTAGCTCTGTGAAATCCGCTTTTCCGTGGGCCGTTCTGTGACGTATTTCTGTACGTATGTTGAACTTCTTTCACACCGGATGTAGCCAACCATGCTAATCGCAGGTGCGGGGGAAGGACAACAAACTAAATACAAAAAGCAGTTCTAAAGAAATGAGTTTTCAATCTTGATGATTTAAAAGTGCATAGCTGCAGTGGCTTCCTAATATCGGAAGAGCATTCCAGACGGCCGCAGAATCGCCCATAGCGTAGGGAATGATGTAGGGCCTCTGCCCTGCGAGCATTTTGAATCGCCGCTTTGTCTCGTTACCACGCCGCCGCTACCGCCGCCGCCCGTCGGTAGCGGCAATGGACGAGGAACTGATCGGGGGACGATTTAAGAAAGAGAAAATAAATATAATCGCTAACGTCTGTCACGGGGCACTCGCCCCACCCCCGCGTGTCCGTGGCAGCGCCTAGAAGAGGAGATCACGACGCTCAAGGACGAGCTGCAGGAGGCGAAGGCCCGCAGTGCCATGGAGGGGCGGTACGCGCGGCGCATGGCGCAGGCGCGACTCTCACAGGCGGCGCGGCGTAGAGAGCACGTGGAGCTCGCCCTGAGAGACGAGGTGCAGGTGAGTGTCCGAGAGATGAGGTGCAGGTGAGCCCGGGGGCACACGGCCTGGTTGCGTTACATGGAAATGAGAAGACGTAAAAGCGCCGTTGCCCGTTGTGCATTTCAGACGCTGGGGAGTGAGCTGGACAACGAGAACAGGGTGCACATGGACATCGACACCTTCCTGAGGAGGCACTACGCGGTGAGCCAGCCAGCGCCACCACTCTTCACGCCCACCCGTGGCTCGCCCGGCAGCGTCTGTGCACGCGTGAACGAAGCCACCCCAAACGTTTGTGAGAACCTGGATTTTATTTTTTCTCCCCAACTATTCAATCATCTGGTTTCATGGTGGGCACAGTGGGTGGAGCTACCCAACTAGTAGGTGGGGCTACTGGAGAGTGGGCCGAGCTACCTGGGCAATGTGCGGTGCAACCAGAGCAGTGGGCGAGGCTACCAGAGTAGTGGGCGGAGCCACCAGAGAAGTGGGCAGGACTACTAGAGTAGTGGGTGGGGTTACCTGATCCCTGTCTGACAGCATCGATTTGAGGTCGCTCACATAGTGGGTGGGGGTAGTGGCTGAGTGGGTGTGGCTTTGTAGAAGTGGGCAGGGCTGAAAGAGGGAGAGAGGGAGGAGCTCCCAGCTCGCCATGTGTCCCCGGTTGAACCTCCAATGGAACGTAGCCAAGGCTTAAATATAATCGCTAACGTCGCTCACGGGGCACTCGCCCCCCCCCCCCATCAGATTTACCATGGAAGTCGAAAAAGATGGCAAGCTACCTTTTTTGGATGTCCTAATAAATAAGAGGCCTGATGGTTCAATGAGCCACTCTGTCTACAGGAAAACTACCCATACAGATGCTTACCTGAAACCGGATTCCCACCACCATCCATCCCAGAAGAATTCCCTCATCAAGACTCTGCACCATAGAGCCCAATGCATATCCGACCAGGAACACATCGCCAGTGAACTCAAGCACGTACACCAAGCTCTTAAGGCTAATGGTTACTCCGACTACACAATCCGCAAAGCTATCACTCCAACCATGAAGAAGGACCCTCTTGAGGAGCCTTTCAAAACCATCACTTTACCCTACATTGCGGGGATCACAAAAAAGATCTCCAAAATCTTGAATAAACACAAGATCCAGTTCCGATTTAAAACATTACATAAAATCCGTGATCTGGTTCCGTCTGTAAAAGATGTGATTCCGGACATACAGTACCCTGGCGTCTACAAACTAAGTTGCCCCTGTGGTAGTAGTTACATTGGAGAAACCAAACGACATGTCTCGGACCGCATTCATGAACACAAAGCAGACCTAAAACACGGTAGGACCAACACCTCAGCCGTGGCAGATCACTGTGAAAATTCAGTAGGCTCACATGACATTGACTTCTCCAAGACAGAGGTTCTTTGCAAGCCATCTGGCTACCATGAGAGATTCGTTCATGAGGCTATCCACATATACAAATACAGAGACAATTTCAACCGAGGTGGATTCTGGCTTAGCAATAATTGGAAGGATTTGATAAACCATTTCGGGTCTTCATTGATTGTTCACACTTACGGTGGCTTTCAGACCGCATCCATTATTTTTGTCTCCCCCCTCCTCTTTTCCGAACATAGATGGACTCGTCCATCTGAATAACTGCCAAATCGCTCTCCGTGGTGCTAACGTTAAAAAGAAAACGCCACTTTTTTCAAATTTTCTTGCTGTGGTATTCACACCTGATGATGATTGCTTGTGTTGCAGGCGAAACGTCGTGAGGATTTTATTGTTTTATATTTTTATTATTTGATTGTTTCCCTTCTACGTGACGTTACCGGAAGAAACAAGAATATGTAGCCAAGGCTGTTTAACTTTGCCTGCAGGACCTCTCGGAGCAGCTGGAGTTCTGGATGGAGAAGTACGACCACGACCTGGAGGCCAAGCAGCAGGAGCTCAACAACCTCAAGGCCACGCACGCCAGCGACCTGGCTCACCTGCAGGACCTCGCGCGCCAGGTGAGGAGGCGTGGCGAGATCCAGGAATGCGGACGAGGTTGACCACTGAGTCGGCTACAAGTTGCAGCGAGGAAGAGGAGTGAGCAGGTTGATGGTGGAGCACGCTAGCCAGCCAAACACTACACCCACCCTAACAAACTGGCCAACCAGTAACGAGACTAGACCTATCCCTCATCAAATGGTCAAGCAAACTAAACTAAAATAAAACCAACTGAACCGTTTTATATTTTACCATGTAAGGCCCATGGAGCTTTGTAGCTCTTTTTCAGAAGCGACCAAATGATAGCTCAAGGAATTGGCTTATCATGGAGAAATTTATAGCAGCCAAATACTCTAAACGCATGTTTCATCATGTGGAGGGAAAAACCCGACGACCCGGAGAAAAATCCATTCGACCACAGGGAGACAGACACGCAAACTCCAAATATACAGAAGGCGTCAGGGTCGGAATTGAACCCACAACCTCCTGTGTACCAGGTGAGGTAGTTAACATCTCGTCACCGCGGCGCCCCTAAGCAGGCACTAACTACACGTAACCCTTATCAACTAGCCGACTGGCCGCTAGAATTAACCCTCCCACTGATCTTCTTTGGTTCTTTCGGTAAAGTCACGTAGAATGAGAATAAAATAATAAATTGATAAAAATAAAATAACACAATAAAATTCTCACGACGTTTCGGCCACAACACAAGCGGCCTTCATCAGGTGAAGGGACGAGACTGTCTGGAGGACAGCGCTGGAGTGAGAAAGCCAAGCTCAGACCGCGACCTTTAAGCTGTGTGAGAAGAAACAGAGCACCTTGACAAAGGAATTAGCATAGAATTTAGCATTGAAATAGCTGAGTGATTAGCTTGTGACTGGTCACAGAAATGGCTATGTTAAAGTCAAAGCATACACATCCACAGAGGCACCCCTTGACAAAGGAATTAGCATAGAATTTAGCATTGAAATAGCTAAGTGATTAGCTTGTGACTGGTCACAGAAATGGCTATGTTAAAGTCAAAGCCTACACATCTGAGCTATTAACAGTAACTGGGTATACACTACACTATATAATGAATACTATATAGTAAACCAATAAAAAACTAAAATATAAATTACCTCAATGTTATCAATAAACTCTATATATTCTCCAATCAGCTAAGCGATTCTTACCCTCAACTTTAGCTAAAGTTGAGGGTAAGAATCCACCCATTTTTTCGCCATATAGCATTGTGATATATAACGACTTATTGTTGGTAGCTTAGCTGATTGGCGAATATATAGTTTATTGATAACATTGAGGTAAGTTATATTTTAGTTTTTTATTGGTTTACTATATAGTATTCATTATATAGTGTAGTGTATACCCAGTTACTGTTAATAGCTCAGATGTGTGGGCTTTGACTTTAACATATCCATTTCTGTGACCAGTCACAAGCTAATCACTCAGTTATTTCAATGCTAAATTCTCCTGTTTGATTTGTACTAGGTGCCTCTGTAGATGCGTAGGCTTTGACTTTAACATAACTATTTCTATGACCAGTCACAAGCTAATCCCTCAGTTATTTCAATGCTAAATTCTCCTGTTTGATTTGTACTAGGTGCCTCTGTGAATGTGTATGCTTTGACTTTAACATAGCCATTTCTGTGACCAGTCACAAGCTAATCACTCGGCTATTTCAATGCTAAATTCTATGCCAATTCCTTTGTCAAGGCACTTTGTTTCTTCTCACACAGCTTAAAGGTCGCGGTCTGAGCTTGGCTGTGTTCGCTCCAGCACTGTCCTCCAGACAGTCTCGTCCCTTCACCTGATGAAGGCTGCTTGTGTTGTGGCCGAAACGTCGTGAGAATTTTATCGTGTTATTTTATCAATTTATTATTTTATTCTCATTCTATGTGGCTTTACCGAAAGAACCAAAGAAGATGAATCCTTGCAGTCACGAAAGCTTTAAATCGAAATCCTCCCACTGATCCTTACCCTAACTATCCAACCAGTCACGAGGACGTTCCCTCTAACTGATGGTAACTGTAACCCAACGAGCACTAGCATCAGCCCTCCCACAAATCCAAAACAATGAGTCTAGCCAGCTTTTACAACGGGCCCTCCCATTCACCAACTAGCCAACCAGAGTCACGAGTACGAGCGTTCCCACCAAGCCTAACCCTAAACATACAAGTGGCAGCAAATGAATCTGGTTGTAAATGAAACCTTAAATTCTTTGCTGGAGCTCATTCATCCTCTGTCCAAACTCCTGCCCTGCTCTCATCCCACCCACCATTTCCCAACCCCCCTGCACCCCTCCCCCTGCACCCACGTAGTACTCGGAGTTTGAGGCGGTGGTCATCGAGGACCGGCTGGAGAGGGAGGCGGAGCGCAAACGTCTCGAGCAGGAGGAGTTGGAGCTGCGCTGCACCGTCAAGGTGCTGCTGCTGCTCCTCGCACCGCACATTTGGGGTGGCCGGCAGACTCCAGAGCTCAAGAGTTCCTGGGTTCGCGTCCAGGATTCAAATGTTGCGTTTCATACCTTGCAACCAAATTACGCACAGTATCGTACCTGTACATTAACCCCCCCTCTGATCTTAGCACCTGATAGGCGCACTGTGATGGCATCACCTTACTCTATTTAAATAGAGACCGGAAGCAGGAAGACTTTTATACAATTTTAAATGTGTACATTGTGTTGTGCAGTATAGGACAGGTACTATCACTATGCGCCTATCAGGTGAAGATGATCAGAGGGGGTTGAATGTAAAAATAAAAATGTATTACGTGAATCTGCGAATATGCAGTAACATATTACCAGTTCGATCAGTCACATTTAATCAAACGGTGCGTTACTTAATATTACGCTTCACATGCGGGAAATACCGACACGAAGCTGAGCCGAGTCGAAAACGACGTAGCGACGGATATGCTGGGAAACGTTCCACGTTGGGTTCCTCACAAAGTCAGCGATGTCAGTTTGCGTAACAGCGTGCATCACGGCGACGCACATAGGGGGGGGACCCTCTGCAGCGCAATCGGGATCGTGTTGAAGAATAACAAAACATTTAAAAGTAAATTCAGATGAAGGCACTTGCAATGAAACACTGTACCACAAGCCTCACCGCAATCCACATGCACGCGCATCACAGGCGAGTTCGCTGCTGCCACTGCCATGTGACCGTAAAGTGTGTGCTGCGTGTGTGCGGTGCGTGTGTGGTGCATGTGTGTGCGGTGCGTGTCTGGGACAGATCCAGGCGTGGTGGCGTGGCGTGATGGTGCGCCGGGGTCTGGGCCAGTACAAGGCGCCCAAGAAGGCCAAGAAGGGAAAGAAGGGAAAGAAGGCCAAGAAGGGTGGGAAGAAAAAAAAGTAATTGGTGGCACCGCCCACAGCTCTCCTCCTTCGCATCGCCCTTCCCGGCCTTGTTCACCACCACGTTGTGCTCGGCCATGGGCAATGCAAACATATACCGAAATTCTCTGTAATAGAGACACACTTCCTTTCCAACATTATTTCAAAGCACAAGCTGAGGACGTGACCGCAATCCGGTATTTGGCATGAAAACCTGGCACCCGGACATGACGTCCAATCCGTGCGCGTAACTCGGTTCGCGTGTCCCTCAGTCCAAGGGTCACTCAGCCTATGTGCCACGGGTGCCCGCTGTCCTAACACTCATAAAATGCTAATTAATTGTCCGTTAATACCTTGATATATAGAAGACCGCAGAGCTTGGGGAGTTTGGCGCCGGCTCACCGCCTGGCAGCTGCCTTCAAACTTGTCTGTGGTTCCTCACACCTGTGCGACGGCGTGTTACAAGTTTGAATAACAATAATTATTGTGATAATTGATGGCTTTCCCCCACCCGTGGAGTGGGGTGCGGAAGGAGGGGCCGGACGTTGGGATGAGCTGCAAGCTCAGAGCCGTGGCAGGGCATCTCCAGGCGTAGCTCGGAACAGCTTTAGTCCGTTTGCTCCTGGCCTCGGCAACAACGCAGCATCCGCGGTTTATTTCGCAAACGCTTTACCCACAAGCTATTAGATGACTACCAACCGGAACATAAACATTTTTACTTGAAAAACAATGTCGAACGCGGGGGAAGAAGTTTGTGCTCGGATTTTCGATGTGCTTTGTTTTGTCTTTGGACTTTTGTCGTTTTCGGTGATCCAGTTCACTCTTGCAAAAGAGACGCCACTTGAGTTGTCGCCCGGTTAAGCGAAATAAACTCGGAAACGACAACAAGAAAGTAACGGTACACACTTTAATGAAAAGCTGAAAACATCACAGTGGAATATAGTACAAAATACATACATTAAGGTGCTTTTGTACACAACTTGCCCGGGCCACATGAAGTGGAGCCGTCTTTCTTTACAAATATACAAATAGAGAGAGCACGCCAAGAAGCATTCCCCCATCCCTCCTGCAGGGCGCTTCCTTCAAGACATTTACAAATTATGCCACCGAATGGGCCGAAACCAAATCACCGTTGAGTGCGCTCCACTTGCGTAAAACATCGATGTGCTGAGCAAATTTTAGCGATGTGCTGAGCAAATTTTAGCGATGTGCTGAGCAAATTTTAGCGGTAAGCCGAAAATTTTCCCCACGGGCCAAATCCGAAGTATAAAACGTGAGCGCGCATATTGCTGTTTAAGCGTATATATAGCTCTTATAAACCTCAACATTACTCTGAATTCTCCCCTAAGGCGGAGTAAAATTTAAAGTTTAATGATTCCGTTAACGATTTGCTTAATTTTTTATAATTATCTTTTTTTAAATAGCACGTTCGTTAAGATGCCCAGGAGTGTGAAGATGGCCAGAGGCTCAGCAACGCAATTAATTGGCCATTGCCGAACGATTAAGACTGATCACTGGAAATCGATGACAAAGGCATTCATGCAAAATATTGGAATAAAAAAATCATCAACCATCTACAAAACAATACAGTAAGAGATTACGGCATTAAAACAATAGAACGTATAACCACAGGAATTGCTATTATGACAATAACGTTATACCGAGAATAACTACTGATATATGGCCACTCGCACTGTAAGCCTGGATGCAACGCATGCTCTCAAAAAAAAAGTTAGGCTGTCAATGCTGCGCCAAAATTCTCTATACAAAATATTCCGAGTTATTATTTAAAAGTCTTTTTATTTAGAGACAAGTTTCGGTATATTTACGTCTTTTTCTTTTTTTACTCTTTAAATTAAATACGTGTATATTATTTTCAGCTGGCTATTTGCGGTGCGTGCCACACTCGGGGTCTCTATTCCTGGCAGCCGGTTGCATCCCTGCACTCTGACAGCAGTCGGGGGTTGATCGGCGGGGTCTGGCATGGGGCCCCATCACTCCCAACGATGACTCGGATCCTCTCACTGCAAATGCCTCATTGTACTATCCGACTATCCGAGGAAGCCACCTGTGCGTGTAATCTACCTTCCACCTAATGTACGGCCCCTTTCTCAATCCATTGCTGGATGAGGGTTATTTGCACCCCGTTTGGGCTGCGGGGTTTTGTTTGGGTACTTCACTACGCTGGGTCTGTGCCGGTTGGCGAAGAGGGCGGGGGGGGCGGGCAGACGTTGGGAGCGTAGTGCAGCGGCGACAACGGAAATTGACGCACCGCCGTCTGCCTGCCGCACAGTAGCCCGCAGCAGCCTACAGCAGCCTACAGTGCCCGTTGCATGCGTGGCGATCGCCCATCCGAGCAGTACTCATTCATGCATGCGTGGCGATCGCCCATCCGAGCAGTACTCATTCATCAGAGCCGAACCCCTTCTTAGCTTTCCGAGGTACGACACATTCTGGGTGATCCTGCTTATAAGACCGTGACGCAGCCTGCTCAAATAACCCCCTTGTTTCTTGGCCTAAGGGACCCCCCCCCCAACTGCTATTCAGCCATAGCAGCTCTCTTGCCAATAATAGGATCGCTGGGAGTGCAGCCGGCAGCAGGAGAGCTCTTCATTGCTTTCTGTGACTACAAACACCGGACTGTATGGCACCCAGACCAGCTGGTAGTATTACTTTACATGCGTACATGTCCAGGGTTACAGTTCCATTTTTATTACGGAGCCAAATATTAACAAGTTAGCTGTAGGCACTTGAAGTTTAATATATATTTTTGGGGGTTTTTGTAAAATTATGTTTTTATTTTTTGTACACTATTCATAACGATAACATTATTTGTAATAAACTGACAAAAATAACGGTTTCAGTTGAGGCGATGGAAGGAGTACAAACTCTTAAACGTGAAGATACACTCACTAATAACCGTAGTTCTTAATAGAGACGAGCAAGAGATCGCTTGGAAGGTGGCGATGTGAAATCCGGGATTAGCAACAAGTGTGGAATGGTCCATGCGGGCAAGGCAAGCACGGCCGAGCAGAGCTAACAATCCGGGGCTCGGCTAACGGGACCCGGTCGCACTGGCACCACCGCGGCACAGCGAGCTGGGGGGGTAAGGGTTTAGGGTGGGGGGGTGAGGGGCTGCATCGCCATTTAGTGAATCTAGAAGAAAACCCAACAGGTGTTCAAAGACGAGGGGGGCGAGGGTGTAACGCACGCGTGGGCTGTGCCAGCGCCGCAGGGACAGGCGGTGCGTGGCACCGCGCTTACACGGCTCTCGTGGTCAAGCACAAGCCCCCCCCCCCCCGCCGGCTCCTGCCGACTGAGCCCCACGCATACAACAACAAGACAACCCACTACGTTCACCCCATTACGTCGCAACGGCAAGCATGCAGTAATAACGTCGTCGAATACAAAACTATATCTGTGGGTTTTTCAAAATCGCTATCTTACAATTATTTTGGATGATGGGGTGGAGGCGTTGGTGGCGGCGGCTGTCGGGTTTGGCAATGTGCCACGTCCACGCTTGCTGCGAGAGATCTGGCTCGGGGGGGGGGGGGGGACCAGGCCGCTTGTCGATGGGATCAAAACAACGCCCCTGGCTTGCGGCAAGCATTCAGAGCTTTTAAAATTCCTTTCGAAATCGCGATATTTACAAGGGGGGGGGGGGGGGGGCAGCACGTTACTCCTCTTGGTCGCTGGGACTGCGGATTGACGATGAGATGGGATTTGAGAGCAGTGGGAAATTAGCAGTAGTAATCATAATGAAATAAACCGTGAGAATAATACTACTAAAAATTGTTATGGAATGTGGAGTTGGATAAGTTGTGCCACCTGCTTAAAAATAATAAGTAAAAATCAAAAGGTATAAAGCGCAACCCACTACAGCACCCTGAAACAAAACAAAAATCAAAGACGGCATGGACCCTGTCGGGAGCACCCTTCCCAACGACACGGAGAGGGGTCTGCATTGAAGCGTTCGGCTTCAACAACAACACCACAACGAGGCCCGTGGTGCCATCACCAGAGTGTACTCTTCATCTGCTAAAGTGTAATTTGGTCAAAGGCATGAAATGTGTTCTTTTTGCCAAAGCCAAAATAAAACTCTCAAGGTAAAAAGAGAAAATGTTGTTTACAACTGTCGGACAAGTTTTGGCTTAAAAGGGGTGACAATGAGAAAAACCACTAAGACAAAATAAAAAATGCGATTTAAAAAGTACACCTCATGCATTAGGATAGCTCTTTCCCCTCCTCTGATATAAATTACACTACTGTAACTGCTTGCAATTAGTCTTAAAAGCCAAGTGCTACGTGATAGCGCCAAGTGATGGTGCTACGTGATAGTGCCACGCGATGGTGCTACGTGATGGCGCCACGCGATGGTGCTACGTGATGGCACCAAGTGATAGTGCTACGTGATGGCACCACGTGATGGTGCTACGTGATGGCACCACGTGATGGTGCTACGTGATAGTGCCACGCGATGGTGCTACGTGATGGCGCCACGCGATGGTGCTACGTGATAGGGCTACGTGATGGCACCACGTGATGGTGCTACGTGATAGTGCTACGTGATAGCGCCACGTCATGGTGCTACGTGATAGGGCTACGTGATGGCACCACGTGATGGTGCTACGTGATGGTGCCACGTGATGGCACCACGTGATGGTGCTACGTGATGGCACCACGTGATGGCACCACGTGATGGTGCTACGTGATAGCGCCATCGCAGGCTTGCAGATCTTCCCCCTCGCACGCCAGCACCGTGGCCTTTGTCAAATTCGCTACCACCAGCACCACCACCGAAAAGACAGAACTGAGCCTTCGGGCCACTTATTGTGATCGCAATAACAGTGAATATTATAACAGCAATGCGAATACATCTTCTGGGTCCAAAGTGCATTACGCACCCTCGTTCACGCCGCAGTCGAAAGCGGCAGGGCCTGCTGATTAAAGTAATCGTAGTGGGTGTGTGTTTGAGCCTGGAGGCAGGGGATGCGGGATGCCCAGAGGGGGGCTGGGGGGGGGCAGTAAAAGGGGCCATTTGCCCCGGGCCTCGCACGCAAAGAGGGCCTCATGGTTTGGCCTGCGGGTGGTGGAATTAGGGGCCCCTGCGGGGCCGATGTGGATTTTGCTTGACAGATGATCGCGGGGGGGGGGGGGGTCACAGGGTGGGAGTCAGACCACGGATGCTTGGCTGGGTTTGCTGGTGGCCAGGTCGAGTAGGCACTGGATGGTGAGGGACACCTTGCTGAGGCCTTTCTCCTCCAGGATGTGGTGAGGGAGGCACAGCTGCTCCTGAGGGCGTGGAACAAATACCGACAAAATATTTCTCTCCTTGGCCTCCACGGAATTCTTTGTCGCGCCGAATGGGAGGTCGGTGCAGCACGCGCTGCATTCTCCAACCACGCAATTACGAATATCGCCCCCCCCCCCCCCCGTGTTCAATTAGAGAGCCCCTGTGAAGGCGAGCATTGTGCATAAGGGAGTGGGGGTCTGGCCAGCACGATGCCCAACTTATTCCGCAATGGTGATGTTGATAAACTGCTACCGGTGTTAATTTAAAGCTAAGTGGACCTTAGGGAGGTCCCAGTACTGGTTCAGATATCACTCTCCACTGATGTCAGCAGAATTGAACTCAGGTCACCAAGTTTGTAGCGCAGTGCGATAACCACTTCGCCACCGCTCCCCACAGTGGTGATGTTTGCACACCGCACCAGGCACTCGTACCGCTCTCCACACCACACAGACAAACATCCCTGTACAGCCTCAACAGACTGTTGGGGCAAGTGCTGTTAGCGAGCACCTGTAAAGTCCAACATGGCACGCGAGGGGGTGGCCAGAAACCACGCCCGGCTGCCTTTGCCTCTCAAGTGGCAATGGTTACACATCGCACGAGGTACTCATTTGAGGCCGAGTCGACCGAGGGGAGGCCCAGGACTGGTGTTGGCCGTGAGCGGGAATCAAAGTTAGCTCGCCGGGTTCATAGCGCAGCGCGCTAACCGCTACACCACCGCTCCCCACACGCGCGCACACACACACACACACGTGGTGCAATGCAGTTCAATGTAGAGACTGGGTCTTTAGGCCCATGCCTACCTGTGGAACTCCCATCTTCTTGCAGGCCTCCAGGAAGTTCTCCACATTTCTTCTGCACTTTGCCATTGTAAGCTTAGGCTGCGTGGCAAGAACAAGAACGTTCAGAATCAGAATATTTACACTGGAGGAATTCGATGAGCTGTAAAGCTCTTTTGCGCAGATGTCTAGCAAAATTCAATAAACTTGATATTCGCCGATGGCAGAAGTGACAACAAGCTGACGATGCCATGCGTTGTCAATCCTCGTGGCCCCACGCTGTCCACATTGTCAATTTTATACTTAACACCACATGGGTGCTGGGCGTTTAACCCATTGCCATTCTGATGACGTGCGTGTATGTACGTGCACGTCACCAGAAGACAAACTAAAATAACTTTATCGGTACCGAGGCTCCCACAAAGCCATGCGGGAGGGCGTGTGGCACAGTTTGGCGCCAGCTATCGTGGAGTGCGGTCGTGTTGCTACGGTTCTCTGCGGTAAGTATGTCTTTAAAAACAGCGCTACGCCTCTAAATAAAATTAAAGCTAACCGCTTGCACGTTCTGAGATTCAGCGGTGAACGGGACCTCCACCCTGCACCTTGCATACGTCTCCTTCTCAGTCGGTTTTTTAACTAACGTTTGGGGAGGCCGTCATCCAGCAGTAGATTGTTCATGTAATTACAGTTTTACTGCTGTGGGTAAAGTTGCTGTGCTATATAGCTCTTTTTCGGAAGCAACCTGGCCATAAATAACAGCTCAAAGTGGCTAATCACGTGGAAATTTATTGCAGCCAAATTCTCTAAATGCACGTTTCAAAATGTGGAGCCAAAAACCAGATGACTCCACAAGGAGAGAGACACGCAAATTCCAAATATACAGCAGGCGTCAGGGTCGAGATTGAACCCACGGCCTCCTTTATACCAGGCAAGGTCGTTAACATCTCCTAGCCACCGTGGCGAGATGTTAACGTCCATACGTCGTAACACCCCAGGCTAGCCGTGCGCCGGCACCGGCATTTCCGGATAACTGTTGGCGACACGCAGCAGAGACGGTGTCGGCGGTGGCGTCGGCGTGGGCGACGGCGTGGGCGACGGGCACCCACCACGGCGGGCGAGGGCACGTGGATGCTGGGCACGGAGCGCGGGCGGATGTGGTTCGCCAGGTGGCACAGCACGACGCCGTCCATGAGCGCCGAGCCCAAGTTCACCGGGTCTCCCGGCAGCGTCACCTTCAGCCGGCACTCGATGTTCTGAGCGGGAAGCACAAAGTGCACGCGTGGGGCGACGCTCGGCAGGGGCGGACGGACGGGGGGTGCCCCCCCCCCCCCCTTCCCGCCTCGCTGGGCTGTAACCGCGAGTGCCGTTTGTTACCCAGCACCCGCGCACATTCACAACGGCGCTGCAGCTGTACTCGCGCACGGACACTTTTGTCGATCCACCGCCGGTGAGGATTCTTTGACCGTACTTCACCGCGCGTCAACGCGGGTTGGTGAAGGCGGGGAGCAGAGACTTTGAAGCACAGAAGTACAGCGCAACGACAGCTTTTTTCTGCATTGCTATCGTTGCTGGCGACCATGTAGTCCCGCCGCCTGTAACACCTGTTATGCATGGTGGTCCCTTTCATCCAAGCTGTGGAGCATGTGACCAAGATCAGGTGCATTCCGAGAGAACAAACTAAAGTCGAACTCAGGAAATCGAGGCGAGGCCCAAAGCAGGTAGAAGACGCCGTTAGCCAGTGACGAGCGAGTTCGGGGATTCATCTGGGATGTTGGGAATTGCACCTCTGATTACAACTCGCCACCGCGGCGCCCGCTTTGAAACCCCCAACGCAACGGTGACGCGAGCTCACGGGCCGCCTCGCACCTTCTTGAGCTGCTCTATGAGCTCCATCTCCTCGCGCACGTGGCTCAGCTTGCGCTTGACCGTGAAGCTGGGGTCCAGTCCCTCGAAGCTGTCCATGGCGCTGCTCGAGCTGTTGAAGGCTGCGAGGGGTCGGCGGAGGAGGGGGGGGGGTGGGGGGAGGGTCAAGGCAAGGAGGCGTGGGGGGCGTGAGCGTGCCCCCGGTTCTTGACCTGCGTCCCCCCCCCCCCCAACCCCGTTGTATTTATCAGTTACGGTGCCCTACGCACTGACTGGCGTGGTGTGGGCAGGAATCTCATCCAGCGGTGGAATGACACCGCAGGGTTCTACGTGAAAATGAGTTGCACAGGAACGGGCCGAATATATTCCGTAAATGTAAAGAATGTGAATATTATTACTATGCTAGAGGCACATTACAGCATCTTAAGATACAGCTGCACATAGATGCTATATGAATACAAACTGTATTGTACTCATTCTTTGGGTCGTTCGGAAAAGTTACGTAGATAGAAAAAACAATAAAAAATAAAATAATAAAAATAAAGTGAATAAAAAATAATAAAACCATCACGACGTTTCGATCGCAACACAAGCAATCGTCATCAGGAGAGTGCGAGCGAGTGCATGGGCAGTGTGAGTGTGCCTGGGCACACTCACTCACTCACCAGGCACACTGTTCTCAAGTCATGAAAATGACATGGAGAGATGTAACAAAAACTGTCCATCAGACGCTCGTCAACATACGCGCCACCAAACGAGCGGCGAGGACCACCGTCGCGGCGTTCGCTCGCGACGAGCGCCACCTGCTCCTCCCCGACGCCACGCGCCGCCGGCGGCGGCTCTACCCCGACGCGCCCGGCAGGACACAAGGACGACCGACTACGTACCTAGACGCTGCTCCAGCAGCCCGCCTCCGGCCGGGCTAAACAGGAAACTCCCGGGCGGTTTGCCGGCCGGCACGGAGGCCGCGGCCCTGTTGTGTGGGGAATGGGGCGCGTGCGCGTGCGAGGCGGCGGTAGCAGGGGGGGCGGCAGCGGCCGTGGGGGAGGACGACGGGGACTGCGTTGCGGGGTGCGTCGGGGAGCCAAGCGGGGAGGGCGGCCGCGGCGGCGAGCGAGCGGCGGGGGAGGGCGACGGGCGGGAGTGCGGAGGCTGGGGGCACGGGCGCACGGAGGCAGATTCTACTCGCGAGCGGCGGGGAGCGGAGAGCAGGCGTCGAGCGTTAGTGAACACACGCAAGAGGCGTTGGCGGGAACGACAGCGACGGGCGTGTTCGGTGGAAGAACAGGGAGACGATTAGATGGCAGTGGGAAACAGAGACACAACAGTTCACGGAGGAGGAAGTATACAAAGAAAATGCAACAATGAAGTGGAACCAATTTTAAAACAGATTTTTGTTGAATGCTAGAGAGTGAAAAGTATCATATATAATCGTAATGTAACGGTACACAAAAAAGCCACACACACACCATAACATTGGCAGCAACAAAAAATATATATTTTCTAACCGAAAAAAGTAACGTGCCAAAATATTGACAGGTTAGAGGTAGTTTGTTAAGGACACGGTGAAAAGACAAGATGTTAATGTACACTGCTTAGCACAGGTCTCATTAGAATGCATGCAAGAGGTTTAGAATGTATGTAAAGAAACAGAATAAACAAGTCACCACGGTTAAATCATGCTCCAAGTCATACACGTCGCATGCAGGTTGAACGATCGATGTCAACAGTGACTGAGAAAATGAGAACAGCACCACCACCATGGAATGTCTGCACGTTATGGGTGACACAAAACCGCAAATGGCCACATTTCTATTTTGGCACCCAAAATGAGGTAATTGAATCCAAATACGCAACCAACGTTCAATTACGAGCAGCAGCTTGGTTTTACCCCCCCCCCCCAAACCAAAATAACAATGCGGCCACATCGTTGTGAAATGAGGCGACGTGGAAGGAACGAGGGGGGGGGGCAGGGGAGGGGGGGGTGCTAGGTGCGGGCGGCAGATCGAACGATGGAACGAGGACGTCACAGCCGCGCTAGCGCAAGGCCGCGGTGCTGACGGGCGTCCGTCGTGACGAGCGGCCGGGACTGGGGAGTTGGGGGTTGTGGCTGCTGGGGGGGGCTGCCCGACGATTCTCACCGGAGCGGAGCTTCAGGCCGAAGAGGGGAGCGTTGGAGCCACTGTAAGCGTTAGTGGGGGTCTTCTCTTCGCTCTGCAGGGCGCACACGCACGCAAACATCCCACCCCGTATGGCCTTAACAGACATTTGGGGCAAGTGTCGTTAGCGAGCACCTGTTGAAGGCCGGCGCGGCACAAGCCCGACCGCCTTTGTCTCCCCAGTGGCGATGTTTACGCACCGCACCGGGTACTCATTTGAGGCCGAGTCGACCTAGGGGAGGCCCAGGACCGGTTCAGATAATCGCTACTGGTGATGGCCGTGTGCGGGAATCAAACTCGGCTGGACGGGTTCGTGGTGCAGCACGCTAACCGCTACGCCGCCGCTCCCCGTAAGAGGCCACCACCACTGCTCAACTTTTCCAACGGCAACCGGTGCGACGCAGCATGGCGACTGTGATCCATGATGACTGTCCGTTAGTAGCAGCTTGGTCATAAGGGCAAGACCCCTGTTTCATATGAGGAGTATCTTTGTCAAGGTAGCCCTGCGGGTTGGTGGCCCATGCAGTAGCAGTTCCACTTGGCTCCTTTCCCCCCCACTGGCATCCCAATTGTGCCAGCAGCGTCGTGTGACGAGACAAAAACAACGGCGCAGCGAGCAGTGCATCACCCTGTGTCGGAGAGAACGGCCGTAGAGGATTGACGCCGCAGAACTACTTCCGACCTCTCTGCCCACGCCGGGGTTACGTTCTGCAAAAGGTGCTCGTTGCACGTCCAACTTAGGCGTTTAATTCTCGAGAGTTGGAATGTAGCCAAATTAGGCGTAAGAAGTAAATTTAAGGCGACGGGATTATTTTTGTGCCGTCAATGGTGATCGGGCCGAGACCATCAACCCGCTATACCGGAGAACCTGTTACGTGACGAGCAGCAACTTCGATTCAACCCCAGGATCTTAAACGTGCCAGTTCAGTACTTTAATCCGTGAGCTTGAGGTCCAACTTTTATAATAATCACAATTGCATCGAATTTTTGTGACCTAGGAGAGTCCACAAACTCTTTTTCATGAGGAGCCTGCATTGGGATGTTTAGCCAAAACCAATGACGTATGTTTTTAGCCACAGGAGGATAACCACGCAGAACAGCGGGGGAAACATACAAACCATAAGTACAAATCCCACAAAGTAAGGCGCCCAAGTTGGATAGCGAATCCAGGGCCTTCTTGCTGCGAGGCACGGGTGCTACACCCACAGCACCATCCTGCTGACCTCCATATTTGACACTCTTACACACTTCTGCACGATACTTTTTAACTCGCTCAATAAACGCTCATCTCCAAGCTGTTACGACCGTGACATGAGATGACTCGCAATGTCGACGGGCACAAATTCACGATGCTCGGTGAAACGGCAAACACGGTGAGCACAAAATTCGGTTTTACGAGCTGGAAGGCTGCGCATGTCGTGAACTAGCCCCGAACCGCGGCCACGCGCGCAACGCATCACGTGCTCGTGAGCGACGAGCCTAGGTTCACCGTGTGCGAATGGACAGTAACAAGAGAACACGGGGCGCACGCAGGCATCATGATTTTGAGACACGAAATGTACCTTGGTGAATTTATGGGGCTGGGGAGAGGCTTTTGGCAAGGCGGCGTCAGGGGAAGAGACAGGATCAGCAGGGGACTAAAACAAAAATGAGAAACCAAAGAAACGTAAACAAACGGAGCAGCAAATGCAGAATGACACGGATCAATGGACGGTCGCCGACAGTGGAATGAGCCAAATACGAATGCATGCCAGGCGAGGTCAAACACCCCAGCGTGTGAGAATGAGACTGGATGTTAAACACAAACTCATTTCAGTTTGGTGGAATGCCGTGGACTGTGGTGAAAACTTGTTTCTCAAGCTGTACTTGTACGTCGTAAAGGAATGGAACATTGCAGATGCTGGCATTGATCATCAATCGCGGTCACCGAAATGCCAACGCGAGTGGCGTCGGGTCAGGAGACAAAGTGTCCATTTGGATCTCTCGCAGAGACAAGACGATGGCCAGCAGAAGCGGGTATCACAGAGCTACCCCTGAGATCCCTTCAAGTGACCTCTGGTCCACACAGAAATAGGGAAGATTTTTCCATTATCAGTGGGAATTTAAGCAAATTAAGCGCAGAACAGAATTAATGTGGTAAGCTTTTTCCGCGTGCAGTGATTGGTGGACAGGGCTGAGACCATCAACTGACGACACTTGAGATACCCGGTTTAGTTATCGGCGGCTGCCTGGATTCGAACCCAGGATTCTTGCCATTGCCTGCTCAGCGCTCTGACTTGAGCCACCCGGCCACCTAACTTAAATAAAGGGTGTTTAAACATTGTTGCAACGTGAGCCGCTTGATATTCACACCGCAGCGATGAATGCCTCGAGCCACACACACACATTCTGTAGACGCAAATGAGAAGTGTCCCTTACCACTAGCAAGGCACTATCATCAATGTGGTGTGGCTTTCTGCTTGGAGGGACGTTTACACACTGCAAGGGAGGGGATATGAACACACACGCACGCACACACACACACAGAGCACAATGAACGAAACATAAAATCAAAAGGCCAAACGGCAGGTGGCAAAAGCTAGTACGGTGCACATCAGCGGTTCTCAACCTTGTTTGGCTACTGCTGTACCCCCCTTTGTTGAATTTGGTTTCAACCGAGTACCCCACCATGCCTGACCTAACGTGGTTCTGAGAAATAAATGTATGAAGAATGAACATCGATATTTTAACCGACTGTCCATTTTGTGAGATATTCTAACTCTCAAGTAACTGCAAGCGAATAAAAAAATTACCGGACGCTCTACGTGCGTGACGCACTTTGTTCGCGCTCGCTCGTTACTCTTGGAACCCGCATTCAGTTTAGAACGGATTTTATTGCATCTTTCTAGGTTACCATATGGATTTACGTTTAAATCGTAGTTATTTTATATTGGCAGATTCAGACGTGATGATTCACCGACGACTCTCACGTGTGATATAATTTCACCCGCGTTTATAAATCACCTCACGTACCCCCCTGGGACATTGCCACGCGTGCCCCCAGGGGTCCGCGTGCCCCCAGGGGTCCGCGTGCCCCCAGGGGTCCGCGTGCCCCCAGGGGTCCGCGTGCCCCCAGGGGTCCGCGTGCCCCCAGGGGTCCGCGTGCCCCCAGGGGTCCGCGTGCCCCCAGGGGTCAGCGTGCCCCCAGGGGTCCGCGTGCTCCCAGGGGTCCGCGTGCCCCCAGGGGTCCGCGTGGCCCCAGGGGTCCGCGTGGCCCCTGGTTGAGAACCACGGGTGCACACGTGCAAACACACACGGCCCTTTCTTTTTGGAGACGCGCTGCTGGGTGAGCGCCGCCAGAAGCCGTGCGGGTCGCGAGCGCTTTTTTTGTTTTAGCTCACGCCAAACGTCACCGCGCCGGCAAGCGCAGACCTTGCGAAGGCGGGGAGCGTAGCCGAGCGTGGCCGTACAATAATACAGTACAACGACGGGTTCTGGCCGCGCTGCCCGCCAGGTATCCCTGCCCGCTGGGTCACCCACGCCGAGCGCGGTCCAGGCTCGACCCCCGCTTGGGTTTACGAGATCTGACGAGAGCCGGGGCGGGGGGGCGGGGAGGAGGATTCTGGGACAGCGGTGAAAAACGTCGGCGAGTTTCCAAAAGCTCGGGCCGCGAGTGTTCCCTCCCCACACGGAGTTTGAACCCGGACCGGTGCGGCAACGCACACAACCTTTATCGACGTCGGTCCGTACACCTTTTCCACTAACGAGTTTTTTTGTTCTAAACGAAGATGCTTCTGACGCATTGTTATTCGTTGTGGGCTGGCCGCTGTTCGCTGGGGCGCACGGTGGCGCAAGTGCCGTCGTGCGGGACACTGGAAGCGTAATTGACGAGCGCACGCAGGGGGGTGACGGTCTCCTGAGGCCAGGAGAGTCTCACCATCGCAGCAGCGGGGTGACGGTCGCTGCGTGGTTCCCAGTGAAGTAATCTGGCGGGGTCATTTTTCAAATTCGGCAACTTGTCACCGAGATGTTTAACCAGTTGAGAACGAGAGAGAGCAGGATAGTCTCACTTCGCTTGCCACGAGGGGGTAATAATTGCTGCTACGTGTCAATTGAGTAATATGCAGGGTGATTTTATAATTTTGCAAATAAACTATTTTTAAACTCAACTATTTAGATTTTACCAGGTAAGGTCAACTGGGCTGCATAGTTTTTTTTCAGAAGCGACCTGGTCACAAATGATAGCTCAACGAAGTGGCTTATCACGTGGAAACTTATAGCAGCCAAATACTCTAAACGCGTATTTAAAAACGTGGAGGGAAAAACCGGAGGATCCGGAGAAAAACGCACGCGACCATGGGGAGAGAGACGCTGCAAACTTCAAATATACAGCAGGTGCCATGAGTCGGGATCAAACCCACGACCTCCTGTATACCAGTCCAGGGAGTTCGTATTCTTTGGTTCTTTCGGTAAGTCACGTAGATAGATAGAAAAAAATAATAAAAATATCACGACGTTTCGATCGCAACACAAGCGGTCGTCATCAGGAAAAGGGGTTATCCTCTAAAGGCAAACTGTTTATAAAGGTTTGGAGATGGGCGTAGCCCAAGTGTGTCATCAGCACCAGCAGCATGGGCGGGGCAGCAATAACAATGCCAATGCAGCACCAATGCAGCAACAATTCCAATGCAGCAGCAATGCCAATGCAGCACCAATGCAGCACCAATGCCAATGCAGCAACAATGCCAATGCAGCAACAATGCCAATGCAGCAACAATGCCAATGCAGCACCAATGCAGCAACAATGCCAATGCAGCAGCAATGCCAATGCAGCACCAATGCAGCAACAGCGCCAATGCAGCAACAACGCCAATGCAGCGGCAATGCCAATGCAGCAGCAATGCCAATGCAGCAGCAATGGCAATGCAGCAGCAATGGCAATGCAGCAGCAATGGCAATGCAGCAGCAACGCCAATGCAGCAGCAACGCCAATGCAGTAACATTGCCAATGCAGTAACAATGCCAATGCAGCAGCAATGCCAATGCAGCAGCAATGCCAATGCAGCAGCAATGCAGCAACAATGCCAATGCAGGGGCAATGCCAATGCAGCAGCAACGCCAATGCAGCAGCAATGCCAATGCAGTAACAATGCCAATGCAGCAGCAATGCCAATGCAAGGGCAATGCCAATGCAGCAAACGGCCGCCAGGAAATCACTGCACCCCGCTCCACACACCACACTGCTGACGGTGGAGGTTGATTGACAAGAAAGCACAAATCAAGTCATGACCCAAAGTGGTTGATGACATCTTTCCAATGATTGCTGAGTCTGTAACCTTCCTCTCGGTTGAAATTGTGTCTGTGTCTGTATATATGGATGGCTTCATGAACGAATCTTTGTTGATAGCCAGTCGTCTTGTAAAGTACCATCGTCTTAGAGAAATCAATTTTATGTGAGTCGGCCGCATTAAAATAATGATCAGCCACGACAGAAGTATTGGTCCTGCCGTGTTTCAGATCTGCCTTGTGTTCACGAACACGGTCAGAGACATGTCGCTTAGTTTCCCCAATGTAACTGCTGCCGCAGATACAGCTTAGTTTGTAGACGCCGGGATATTGCATGTCAGGAATCTTGTCCTTCACAGATGGGATCAGATCACGAATTTTATGTACTGTGTTAAATCGGACCCGGATCTTGTGTTTGTTCATGATTTTTGAAATATTTTTAGTTACCCCTGCTAGGGTCATGGTTTTGATTGGATCCTCAGATGGCTCCTTCCTCACGGTTGGGGTGATGGCTTTGAGGATTGCCTCGTCAGAATATCCATTCGCCTTGAGATAGTTACCGGAGTTTCGACTCTAGTCCCCTTCCTGCCATTTCCCATGGGTAAAAAGGTTAAAGAAAGTTAAAGCAAACATTACACTATTAAATATATTTTTGTAAAACCTAAGCGATAAAAATTTAAACCAGTGCACGACAGAGGGGTAACCGGTGTGGGGGATGACGAGGTTTGTCGAACGCGAGCGAGCGAGCAGACAGCGGCAGCACGATAGAGGGGCGGCGACGGCAGCAGCTCGGCATCCCCAGAGCCGTCGGCACACTCACGTCACTTTGCGGGTCGCTCTCTGCGCTGTGTTGGTGGACTCCGCGAGGCTGCGTAAAGAAAACGCAGAGACACGGCACACGTGGGGCAGTGAGTCGGAGGTTCCGGTTGAGAGCTGGAGAGCCCACCTTGAGCGAGAGCATGATAAGATGCATCCGTCACCATCATTAACATTGCTTCAGTAACCTTGCAAGTTGGCGACCTCGTGCTGTTTGTTGTGAAAGATAGGTGGGCTTGGGCAAAACAAGTCATAATGGAGTAAAGATATACTAGAAACTACTACAAAATTTTTATTTTTATTTTTCAGAAGCGACCTGGCTACCACAAATGATAGCCCAATGAAGTGGTTTATCGTGTTGAATTGTATAGCAGCCAAATACTCTAAATGCGTGATGTTGATTCTAAATGTGGAGGGAAAACTGGGGGACACGGAGAAAAATCTACATGACCACGGGGAGAACATTCAAACTCCACATATACCGCAGGCATTGGGATCAAGCCCACGACCTCCTGTATACCAGGCAATGTAGTTAACATCTAGCCAAGGCATCTACACCAAGCCGTCGCCGTCTCCCGCTTGTTTCACACAAAGTGCCTGCCGCAGGTGAACCACGACACCCCGCTGATCTCGTTCATCAAGCGGCGTAAACCATCATCATCATCATCACGCCAACTCCGCTCATCCTCGCAGCGGCGACGGCTTTTGGCCGGCCATCGAACAAAGACGGTCGCCGCGTCGCCCGCTTAGCCGATGCGCTTGTGCGCAAAAAATCCGAGCGCCGCAGGCGGGGCCGCACGCGGCCGGCTCGCGCACCTTGGTGGCGGTGAAGGTCTGCGTGGTCGAGTGCTTGGTCAGCCGCTGGCGCTCGTCCTCGTAGCGGCGGCGGGCCAGCTGCGCCTCGTGCCGCGTGCGCTCCAGCAGGATCTGCTCGCGCTTCTTCTGGAACTCGAACTCGGCGGGCGGAAGGTCCTCCTGCTGCCACAGCGACAGGGCGGCCGCGTCATCAGGCGCATCGACGACGGACGATACAACGGTTCCATTAAAAAAAAACAAAAAATAATCCGTTCTGCCACTTTTTATTCGAAATGTACAATGGGCGTCACGTCGCGAGATGGAGAATCCATTCGAGACTCCCGCGGGGGAGGGAGAGAGACGAAGCGTGAAGAGAATTGCCCACAGATGCGGATACTACGGAGCTGCCTCCGAGATCCCTTCCAGTGACCTCTGGGGCAGCGCTTTCCGAGAATGTTTGTCGCACGGAGGTCAAAACAAATTAAATGAAGAACCGACATTTGATTCGATGGGCATTTTTGTGGAGTCACTCACGATAGGGCTGAAACTAACAATGCTGTGACTGAACCCAGTTTAATCACTGGTGGCTGCCTGGATTCAAAACCATTATCTCAGTAATGACCTCGAAGCCACCGGGTCATCTTTTGAATGAATCATTTTTAATTTTTACAGTAAGTCCTCTATTTACAGTAGGAAAAACAACGTTAATCGACACCTATTTTACCACTGACTTAATGACATACATTTAGGATATGTTCCTAGCGCTCATTTTTAGGTTAAGATTAACAGAAAAAACATGAAATGAGTACCGAAATAGTAAACAAAAGAAACTCTAAAAAGATGCATAACAAGCTTAAATATATAAGTTAATACAGAATCAGAATATTGAGAATGTGCTGGAGTCCAGTAAGGGGCAGGGTCAGAATGTTACTCACCAGAGATGGCAGCAGAGATTACATTCAGAGATACATTCACAGATATTACATTCAGAGATACATTCACAGATGTTACATTCAGAGATTACATTCACAGAGATTACATTGAGATGTATTACATTCACAGAGATTACATTAAGATATTACATTCACAGAGATTACATTGAGATATATTACATTCACAGATATTACATTCAGAGATTACATTCACAGAGATTACATTCACAGAGATTACATTGAGATATATTAAATTCACAGAGATTACATTGAGATATATTACATTCACAGAGATTACATTAAGATATTACATTGACAGAGACTACATTGAGATATATTACATTCACAGAGATTACATTGAGATATATTACATTCAGAGATTACATTCACAGAGATTACATTCACAGAGATTACATTCACAGAGATTACATTGAGATATATTACATTCACAGATATTACATTGAGATATATTACATTCACAGAGATTACATTCAGAGATTACATTCACAGAGATTACATTGAGGTATATTACATTCAGAGAGATTACATTGAGATATATTACATTCACAGAGATTACATTCAGGGAGGGCAGTACGGTATTGAGTACACGGTGATGTTGTAAACACCGAGGCTTCATTCGGCACCCGCTGGGTCAGTGCGTCACCACGCACGCTGCCCAAACCCCTGCCGTTCTCGTCTCTCGATTTAAAAAAAAACAAAACACGTATGCGGTGAACCAACGCATTTTAAATAGAATCGTGTTCCCCAATTCGTCGGTGAGGCTACAGTGAAACAACGACGCAAACAGGAGCAACGTCAAAGAGGGGACCTTACTACGATTACGTCCGTTCACAAGACTCACCTGATAGACCGTGGTATCCGTCGCCGTGACGCCGGGCTGACCGCTGAAAGTGTGGAAGGCAAGTCAAAGATTAGAGCGACACGAACGACTGCTCACTCTCATCCAAATACAGACCGAGAGGGTGCAAGAGGACAGTTCCAAGCATGTACGCGTGTATGCTGAACTTCTCTCGCACCATGCATAGCCAACCGCGACTAATCGGAGGTGCGGGGAAGTAAGTCGGAACACAGAAAGATAAAGATAGCCAGCCATTTAAGTGCCTACTGAAGGAGTTAAAACTACTAAAGAACGAATTTTATATTACCAGGTAAGGCCCACTGAGATATATAGCTTTTTTTCAGAAGTAACTTGCCCACAAATGATAGCCCAACAAAGTGGCTTATCACGTGGAAATTTATCACAGCCAAGTACTCTGAATTCATGCTTCTAAATGGGGAGGGAAAAACCGAAAAATCCACGCGACCACGGGAAGAACATGCAAACTCCAAATCTACAGGCGTCAGCGGTTGGGATCGAACCCAGGGACTCCTGCATGCCTGGCGAGGGAGTTAACATCTCACCACCATGGCGAACAAACTTTCGAGTGCTACCCATATCTGTACATCAGCTTGTCTTTCCATCCACGGTATATTTTATGCTTAACCACATCACACATCATCACTTATCGCGCACTTTCAGATGCTCTTCTGCGGTCGTCTGGAACGCTCTTCCCTCCGATATTAGGAAGCCACTGGAGCTATGCACTTTTAAATCTAGATGGAAAACTCATTCCTTTAGAACTTTTTGTCCATAGTTTGTTGTCCTTCCCTCGAACCTCCAATTAGCACGGTTGGCTACGTACGGTGCGAAAGAAGTTCAACATATAGTTATCTTGGATCATACACGACACTTGATCAAAACGAATCGCGCAAATTCCCCTGGGTCGCCAACCCGCCCCTCGAATACCGATTCAACGTCCGTCTCGATAACCCCGCCTTCCCCCTTCATCACGCACGTGCCGCGTCCCACCCATCACAACCTCATTTCCCCAACAATACTCTTCTGCAGCCATTTCTCGCTTCGTGACAAAAAACGCCCGGCGGTCGCTGCCCTCACTTGCTGACGAGCCCCGGGAGCGGCGAAGCCGAGGTGCTGCCGGCGTTCCGCAAGATGCCGGCGAGCGGCGCGCAAGGTCCCCCTCCTTCTCCTCCTCCACCGCCGCCGCCGCCGCCGCCGCCGTACCCTCCACTGCGATAACCACACGGACGACACGGCCGCTCACCGAACCTGCACACGCTGCAGCGTTGTGCCGCCCGCGTCGCTTAGGATAACAGAATTTGTAACGGGACGTTCTCCACAAACGATTGACAGGCGCAGGAAACAACAGAAGTGATGGGAATGCAGCAAGAACAGTCGCCGATAATTGCCCAAGCTCTGCTGTCCCTTCATTGGGATGCTTGGTCACCACGATTAATTATTATACACGCAGATGGAAATCTGTACGAGGGGGGGGGGGGGGGGGGGCTAACACTCAATCCCCGCACAGATTACTTTACTTGCCGTACTGCCATTCGTACCCTGGCAAGCCGGGAGATGGCGACCTAGATGACCACGGGCAAGGCGGGTGCCTCACGAATTTGTCCGATTCACCAACCCTCGCCGCCTCCACCAGCGCTGGATTAAAGGCCACGGCGTGCCAGCACAGCAACGAGCCACCAGCTGCTGCCGCTGTTGCACGAATCGCAGACGACCGTGGACCAAACGGAGTCGTCGCAGCTGATCTACCGGCAGCAAAACGGCAACAACACCTTGCCTACTACAAATGGGCGCCGTGGTGACGAGATGTTACCTCCCTTGCCTGGTATACAGGAGATCCTGGGTTCGATCCCGACCCTGATGCCTGCTGTATATTTGGAGTTTTCATGTTCTGTCCGTGGTCGTGGGGATTATTCTCCGGGTTCCCCGGTTTTTCCCTCGACATTTAGAAATAAGCATTCAAGAGTATTCGGCTGCTATAATTTTCCAAGTGACAAGCCACTTCATTAGGCGATCATTCTTGGCCAGGTCGCTTCTGAAAAAAAGAGCTACATAGCTCAGTGGGCCCTAGCTGGTAAAATAAAGAATAATTGATCGTTTAGTCGAGTGCCTATATTTTGACTCACCGGACACGCCCATCGCATCCAGACGCGATAGCCCGCGCCGCGTAGGGATGCGACACGCACCCACACAGATCGCGATTGTCAACGCGACACGCGCTGCATAATCCAACCGCATTTCCGACTCATAGCGTAGGACTGCAAAAGAGACTGGTGTCGGGAAGACGAACACCGCACGTGGGCAACTGACGAAAGCGTCAACGCGCATTTGGCTGTTTTCCCATTCGCGTGAGAAAATGGGCAAACAAGGGGGTGTGGCTCCCTGATGCGCGACCCCTGACTCAAAACAAACATAGATCCACAAAGACATTGCACATGAGGAAAAAGCTGTTGGTACATGCAGTGAAACCTCACCATAAAATTCCCGCTTTATGCGCATTGCTCTTACCTGTGTGTGTATATATCTCCTAAAAAAATCGCGAATCGACAGAAACCATGTCAACGTTTCCTGACGTGAATGTTTTTTGGCCGCATCGAACGTTCGACGTGGCCAAACAGCTTCCCACCGAGGTTTCACCACCACATTTAACAACCCAACCGGTTCACAACAACTTCACAGCAGGCGACCCTCTCGTACAGACGCGTTTCAAAATCACTCTGCACGGCAAACACGAGACCCGCGACCAACAACACGGCAGGACCGCGCTCGCAATGAAGCCGAAGCGTTTCGCAAACCGTCTCCCAAGGCCTGGGCAAGCACAAGGCACCGTCGGGGGTAAGAGACGGGGGAGAGACCCAGCGCAGGCGAGCGGTACCTTGGGGCCGAGTGGACAAACGCGGGGGAGCGGCGTCTGTCCTTGGCAGTGAAGGACGAAGACTGAGGGAGACGTCTAAGACAAACACACGGGGTGGGGGGAGGGGGTAGGCCGGGGCGCCGGGGGGGGGGACACACGGGGGGGATGCACGGAGGACGTGACGACGAAGGACAAATGCACATGCGTGGTGTCGAGAGAGACGGCGGGGGTGACACGGACAGACACGCGGGGAGACACGCACAGACACACACGGGGAGACACGCGGAGACACGCGGGGAGACACGCACAGACACACGTGGGGAGACACGCGGAGACACGCGGGGAGACACGCACAGACACACGCGGGGAGACACGCGGGGAGACACGCACAGACACACGCGGGGAGACACACAGAGACACGCGGGGAGACACGCGGAGACACGTGGGGAGACACGCGGAGACACGTGGGGAGACACGCAAAGACACACGCGGGGAGACACGCACAGACACGCGGGGAGACACGGACAGACACGCGGGGAGACACGCACAGACACGCGGGGAGACACGCACAGACACGCGGGAAGACACGCGGGGAGACACGCACAGACACGAGGGAAGACACGCACAGACACGAGGGGAGACACGCACAGACACACGGGGAGACACGCGGGGAGACACGCACAGACAGGCGGGGAGACACGCACAGACACGAGGGGAGACACGCACAGCCACACGGGGAGACACGCGGGGAGACACGCACAGACACGCGGGAAGACACGCACAGACACACGGGGAGACACGCACAGACACGCGGGGAGACACGCACAGACACGCGGGGAGACACGCACAGACACGCGGGGAGACACGCACAGACACACGGGGAGACACGCAGACACGCGGGGAGACACGCACAGACACGCGGGTAGACACGCACAGACACGCGGGGAGACACGCACAGACACGCGGGGAGACACGCAGGGAGACACGCACAGACACGCGGGGAGACATGCGGGGAGACACGCGGGGAGACACGAAGGCGACAGATGCACGGGACCACGGATTGGGGAGGGAGGTTATCGCACATTCTTGCTATGTTAGTGACAAACAGCGAGCGGCGGACATGCGGCAAGAGACCAGGGGGCATGCTCAAGCCTCGACTCACGCAGCCGTCCCAGCTGCCCGTCTGGCCGGGTCGCTGGGTGGTCCCTTTCACGTGACACCCACCCCCCGTTTTTACGCAAACTTCCTTTCGTTATATTTTGCTTTATTCATTCTCGCGTAAATGCAGTGAAACGCTCGAGTTTAACTGCATTTGCACTCCTAAGCAGGGACGTGTAAATAAGGCCGGCCGGTACTCTGGTCTGTCCACAAAAGTAATTGATCAGCAGTTGTGGAACTAAAACCGATTTTAAAAGTCTCAATATTCTCTTGACTAATGCACTCGCTCATTCGGTGTTCGTGACCCTCGCTCATTGTTGTCGCATGGCTTCACAGACAGAAAGGCGAAAGGCTGCCCCACCATCGTAGTGTTTCGCTGAACATTTCCCCCATCAGGTTGAAATTCTGCCGTCCGGTTCCCGGCGCAGCGCTGCAAATGTGATGGTGGCCGGGCGGGCCGGCGAATTAACGCTCACCGGCGTGGGTGAAGTCAGCGAGGGGGGGGTAGGGACTCGAGCCGGTACCTGGCGTCGTGAAACGATATGGGTCGTCGGCGAATGTCCGTCTCGCAGAACGACGCCGAGTAAACAACGGGCCTTCGCCTGCCGTCCCCAACAACGCAGGGCCACCACCAACCCCACCCCCCACCGACCCCAACCACCGCCACAGAGAAACGCCAGGCAGCACCCGTTAAACCGAGCAGGCGGCAGCAGCAGGGCACGTGCAGCAGAGGGTGGCCGACGCACGCCACGGATGCGGTAGCGACGAGGCGTTGGTGTCGTCAGCAGCAGCGGCGGCGGCGGCGGCGGCAGGGGCACGGGGAAGGAGAGGGAAGGGGGGCGATGCGGCCAGACAAAGGCAGACACGGGCAGATGCGGGCACACGCGGGCAACGAAGCACGGTTAGCGAGCGCGCTCGCCAGCGACTTGACGCGTCGGGGCTCGAACACGCGACGACTGCTTCCAGCGTACATTTTGCACCCGTTGGGTTTCGTCGCTGCGGGGGCCCTGGGACGTGGCAGGGCCGGGGTGGCGGCTGCTGCACCACTCAGGCCAAGGTGATAGCACGCACGCTCGCTCGCTCGGGTCTCGCCACGCCGCCGAGGTTGCCGCTCGTCACGGGGTCTCGTCACCGTCTTTTTATTTTAGTGGACGGTGCCGAGCCGTTGACGAAACGGCACTGGCATCATGGCCCAACGACTCAATAATCACCGACGTATTTATTGCACGTAACGTGTGTTGCGACGCGCGAGGCTCTGTCAATCCACCGCCGGATTAGGGATTAGAGAAACGGTGAGCAGGAAGAGGAGCACAGGAGTGCAGTACGGCGGTGGATTTTGCTGCACTGCCCACTGCCGCCCACCATGGAGAAGTGCAGCAGACTGTTAACAAACTGCTATGCCAGGTGGTCGCCCCAAGCCAACCAAGCTTTAGGTATCACAAATATCGGACACATTCCAGAGGATTTGCTCGTACATAGAGCCTTTGTTTAAATGTTAATCATTAAACTATTTTACGACTGCTATTACTCAACACCACCGAATTATATTGGGACGCAAATAGAACATTGCACCTGGGGCTTTAATGTTAAAGAATCTCAGGCCAACGCCGCAGTCGGTCACTTCCGCTCATCCCCTTTCTTTGCGAGTCCCACGCACAGGTCACGCAGCATCGTCCCACGTGGCTTTTGCTTCGTCACCTCCCAATTGCCCAACTCCGCTTTACGCAACGTCCCCAGCCGTCACTTCTACACGCAGCAAAAACGCTGCGCCGCCCGAAAGGATGACGAGACGGTGATTGCGTCATCTCTCGGCAGGACGCCACGTCACAAGTGAGGGGGGGGGGCGGGCGACCGGGCGGGGCCGTACCTCTCCTGGCTCCCGTCGGCGCTGCGGTGACGCTCCCGCAGGGTGCCGTCGCCAGCCTCCCTGTCGGCGGTGGCCCTCCCGCCGCCGCCGCCGCCGCCCTGCTCGTCGTCCGCCGTCGGCGTTTTGCTGCAACGAGTCGGCAAGGGGCACGGTGCGCGTTAGCGAGGAACGGCAGGGGCCAGAGCAACGCGGCGCAAGGTGCTATGGGGGCTAGTTAGGAATATGGAACACATTTCTCACTACAACCACTACACACCCCTACCCTCTCCAAGTGATGCGATTACATGATTCAGGGTTCAGATACGTATGTTAAACTTCTTTCGCACCGTACGTAGCCGTGCTGATCGGAGGTGCGAAATAATAAGATACAATTCCTGATTTGTTTTATTTTCAGCTGTCTGCCATTCTGCCGCTGGATGAAGGCCCCGTAAATCTGTGTTTGGTTACGATGTTTCCTTGACCATACTTCACCGTGCCGATCAAAACGGATTTGGCGAATGGGAGGAAAGGCCCAGGGGCCGTTACAGATATATTGTTCGCCAGTGATGTGAGTTCGCGATGGCTGGGAATCGAACTCGGGTTGGCGGTTCACAGTGCGGCGCGCTAACCACTCCGCCGTCGGCTAAATTCAGAGAATTGATTTTGAGAATCAATAATTTTTCGCTTTATATTTTACCATCTCGTTTGCACTGTATCTCAAAGTCTGGTTTTATGGTTTTGTTTGTTCCATGAATTTAAATATAGCATTCACATATTTGCATACAATTTGAATACTTTATTGTCAAATCAAACACGCACAACATGCGTTTATCAGAAGTGTAAGAAACTTTTAATCGGCACATCATTACAAGCCTGGGGCCGATATCACGCATCTTAAAGTATCACATTAGGTGCTCCATGAGTTATGATTACTAAAATAAAATATTGGATTCTTCCATATAACACTGCAGTCAAACAGATGCAAGCACTTCCGATTAGCACGGTTGGCTAAGTACGAGCACGACCCTACCCATCATTGAATGCCCAACTATGCCTTACGCATTGCCGACATACCGATGTGAGCCTATAAGTATGCATCTATAACTGTGCACATCCCTATCTATTACAGCTATGCCATTCTCGCGTATAGCAATAGAATAACAATACCATTACAATTTGCTATTGCTACGTGCCATTGCAATAGGTGCTGAGCAAACCTAAAGCACACACATCGATTCTCATTCACTCTGTTTGAGGAATCGTGAAGTTGACGCAAGTTTTCTTTCACAAACTAAAACGTCTACCACACAAAGGAGTCACAGTCTTGTCACGCTACGCTCTTAGGCGAATCTCAGAATAACCAAAGCATTTTTTCTGTTCCCCAGCGCTGTAGAAAAACTATCATTGTTGAGCAATGTAATGACTGTTGTTGTGATTGAAATCATCAAGACTTCCGGCATTGGGCGTCGACCAAACATCTCATGAGTAGACATGGTGTCAACTCCACTTGTTATTGTGCCCATGGTAATGAATGGCAATGCAAATGTAGTATTAATGAGAGCTAAAAATGCTGCTGTGATCATAATTAAATGTGGCCCAGGTTCTGCTCGTGAGCTGCTCAATCATTTGAATACAGCACCACGTGTCTTTGTAATGAATACGAGTCAAATTCATTGTTGGGTGTTTATTTAAGTGAGAGTTCTTAAATATGTAATGAATAATAAATGGAATCACAACCCCCAAAAACCTCACCCCCCCACCTCACCCTAACATAAAACTTGTTTGTCTCAACGATGCTTCCGTTCCCTGGTTGTTAGTTGATCTAAACGAAGAGCAAGTTCCGATCGGGCCACGGGACGTGATGCAGAAAGAGTTTGGAGGTGGGTACATAGTGGCGTCCCCGCTCCTGCCACCTCACTTTTCATGGCCCACTTTTAAACTATTACTATTATTTTAACAGGTAAGGCCCACTGAGCTACATAGCTCTTTTTTAGAAGTGACCTGGCCACAAGAAATAGCTCAACGAAGTGGCTTATCACGTGGAAATGTAAAGCAGTAGCCAAATACTCTCAACGCACGTTTCTAAATGTAGACGGAAAAAAACCGGAGGACCCGGAGGAAAATCCACACAACCACGGGGAGAACATGCAAACTTCAAATATACAGCGGGGGTCAGGGTCCGGATCAATCCCACAACCTCCTGCATACCAAGCGAGAGAGATAACATCTCGCCACCACTACCCACTATTCTGCACCAGGTGCGAGTATTCGCCGACAGTTAAAGTAAACTTTTTTTTATTTTAACACGAGCCACCAAGACAAGCAAATAACAATATATAAACAATCTGTTGCAGATCCTTTTCTCTTTCACTATTTTTTTTACTTTTCTCTCCCGCGTTTATGTTAAATTAATAACATTTACGTGCGGTAGAATGACAGCATACAGGCCTACGTTTCAGAGTGAGTGGAATAAATGTCAAACTTGAAAAAAACCCTGTGTGCGAGTTAAAAAAATCCATTCTTTATTTATTGCGTTATGGAATTTCCGTACAAAACAATAATCGTAAACACGCTCGGACAAGTCTCTATTACACAGGCATATTTCTTTACGTGAAAATTTATACATTTTGATGTGGACCCTTAAAGTAACACTTAGCTCGACAGTGAAAATGTTAATTGGAGTGCACGTACAAACATACTTTGCATAAATACATTTACTTTTTCAAAATGAACGTCAGTGCAACAAAAGGACCCAGAGAACGCACAAGGCACTCCCAGTGTACAACCAAATCACAGCTGAAGACGAATCAATGGGACACGCTGTCATGTAAAAAGATCAAACCTCAAACAAACCGCTCTGATCTTTGAGATACAAACCCAGGCTGTGTCCTCCTGGCTGTCTGACCTCTGATTATGATTACTACTACGACCACTACGCGTTTTTACCCAGAGAAGTCTCATGACACGTTTACAGCAGAGTCCTGCCACGTTTTTACGCTGGGGGTGATGTTGCTACGTGTAACCCCACTTGAGTAATTTGCAGGTGATTTCACAGCAATGGGATGTTTGGCCAATACCAGTCATTGTTTTTTTATTAGCTATGGGAGGTAACCAGGGAACCAGTCAGAAACCCACAGAGGACACAGGGGAAGAGAATACAAATTCCACACAGAAAGGTGGCCGAGTTGGGAATCAAACACAGTCCCCTTTATTGCTATGTGTTGCTTGTGTCACCACTGTTCCACCGTGTAGCTCCAACGCTTGAAATTCGAATCAGACTAACACAATTTTTTTATTTTACTAGGCAAGGCTCACTGAGCTATGTGGCTCTTTTTCAGAAGCGACCTGGCCACAAATGATAGCTCAATAAAGCGGCTTATCATCACGTGGAAATGTATAGCAGCCAAACACTCTAAACGCACGATGTTGATTCCAGGCGAGGTAGTCAACATCTCGCCACCGTGGCACCCCAGACACCCCGGGTCACACAAGATATTTACATTTTGATTGCATCTCACTCCAAGCTCACAAACTTGTCAGTTACCCCTCTACGCTCATCTCCGTCTGGCGCCTCTTAAAAAGACATCAAAACAAATCTGCCGCCCGAGAACCGCCACACGATACGTGAGTGAACGCTGCCTGGTGTTTATTTGGGTACAGGCGCAGGGTATGGCCCCGTCTGCTTGCCCCCGATGACCACAGCAACGGCGCACGCGCGTACACGACGCAAAACCGTATAAATGGAGGCTTCACCTCTGCTCCTCCCTCCAGCCGCCATCGTCCTCAGAGCGTGGCAGTGGCGTCTCGTCTGTCCGCAACGGAAACAGCTTCTGCAGTCCGCACGCAATGGTAAAAAGAAATTGGTCATTTTGTTGTGTCAGGCTTCTTCTCGTGTTAGCCATCACAAGTCAATATCCAAATCGCTGGACCGCTCGGTTTTCGGTGTGATCCAGTTAAGTCACTCCGCCTTCAAGCCAACGGCGCAAGGGGCAGCCGTCAACAAAATGGACGACTGTTGCTGGGCAGCTCCTTAGTCACATGACGTATGGGTGGTACGCGCGCGCTTTTTTATATGAATGGTAAATAAATAAAATTTGCCCATGCCAACTTTTATTACGAGAAATTCGCCTCGCTCAATAATGATGAATGTGTACACACTTTTTCGATGTCTTCCGTAATGTGGTTGTTATTGGTCTAAATTCGAATTGCTTGTTGTTTTTACATTCTTGCTTTTGTCATTTTGGAGACACAAGTGACTCAAGACTATTTTGGTTCCACTTGAGTTGGTTAAATAAAATAAACTTGAAACACGCCAATCTACTAAGCCTGATCCAAGATAATCTGACGAACTGGAGCTAAGGTACAAGTGTAACTGATTATCGGCAGAGATGATTATCAGTGCCAGGATTTCAGCTTCCTGATTTATGAGCCAATTAAACTTGCTCTTACGCTGAGGAGTGCTGGGATAATCGTGCCTGTGAGCAGTAATGTCGGCACATCCCTGCAGTCGCACAGGACTGAGATTGGCAATCAACTTAAACTTTACGACTGAGATGGGGAAGTCGTAGACTAACGTATGAATTATGTTTGTAGGAGATTGCTGGCTGGCTCGGAGTCAAGAGCACTGAACTGGCAATGCTGATATCCCCGGTATGCATTCCGGGAGCCATCTCCAACATAAATCGGGTTCTCAAGCGATTGGATCCGATGGTCTCAGTCAGGTGTCATCAATGCCTGTCACACTACCGTGCGACAAAAACATTGATCTGTGGTGGAGCATGTGGGCAGGTGCGCCTTTGGAGTGCGGATAAAAACAATCGCTTGAAAGAACCTCAGAAGAAGTTCTATGATATCTTCTTCCACGAGCCGTTCTGTAACACGGAGAGTTGCACTGCTCTGCGAGAGATCTTAATGGCCACCCTTGTCTCCAGAAGGGATGGCGGATAGCAAAACTGGAATAAAACCGGGCGAAATCGTACGACGTGCAGACCGAACGGGCGAAACGTCCGGCGTTAAATGCGCGAGACGAGACGGCGGCACTGGGAGCGCGTGCACCTCGTGAGATATCCTGCGCTCGATGTACGCCATGAACTTCGTGGTCAGTCCCGGCTGGTCTTCCGCCTTGGGGGTAACCGCGTCCTCCTCGTCCTCGTCCTCAATGTAGTCCACCTCCTGGCCCTCCTCCACCACTGAGGGCACAACCGCGGGGTTACAGCGGCACCCTCTACTGCTGCCACGGCATCGTCAGGTTTCAATTAGAGAGCTAAACATCAAATGTATGTATGTATGTTAAACTTCTTTCGCGCCATATGTAGCCAACTGTGCTAATCAGTCAAACAAAAAAATTGCAGTTGTTTTAGCAGAAGCACAAATAAAAGTGACCACCTTGGTCAATAACTCCACACTCTCGTAGCGCCGTCTAGCAGATGCTGAATGTGCGCGATGCGAGCGCCGAGAACTCGTGCAATACGATGAGAATTTCAACATTTCCCCGTGGCCTCTCTACAACGCCACTGGAACGTCACTCCCGACTGCGCCATGGCGATCGGGAAAATAGGTTTTTGGCCAGCTGAGTCGGTAAATACTTTGGGAAGATACGATCTATTTGCCAATGAACAAATCACCAGCGACGCACCAGATCACATGATATCACGGAAGCGAAGCAGGTTTGAATAAGAGGAAGTGAAAAACCACCAAGCATAAATATAAACATTATAGGCTGCAGTTCATCAAGGGACAACAATACAAATGTGAAAATCTGAACTATAACTACAAAGGTAGAGGACAATTATCTCACAATAATCGTCCAATCGCAATATCTGATATCGTATTGTGAAAAATAATATCGCGGCCACTCTGCGTGGGAGTTAAAAGGCACTCCACAGCTATACATGGCCGCGGCACAGTTTGAGAAACGGCATCGCTTCACAACCGAGGCGAAAAGAAGACTTGACAAACAAACAACAGGCAGAGACAAAGATTCCCCTTGGGCCTTAAAAGAATGTTGGGGCAAGGGCTGGTAGTGAGCACCTATAAAGGCCGGCTCGGCACACAAGGGTTTACTCATTTGAGGATGAGTCGACCTCAGGGAGAGGCCCCGGACCGGTTTAGATAATCATCACTGGTGTTGGCCATGAGCTCGAATCAAACTCGGTTCGGCGGATCCGGAACGCAGTAACCACTGCATCACAGCTCCCCGTTCAACAAAAGGCAACCACCTTTCATCAAACGTCGAGCCACAAGTGCAGCTGCTGTGCGCCCGACTACGAAATGTCTAAATGTGGACCGGAGAAAAATCTAAGTGACCACGGGGAGAGAGAACACGCAAACTCCGAATATATAGACGACTGGGTCGGGATTGAACCCATGTCCTCCTGTATAGCAGGAGAGGCAGTTAACATCTCCTAGCCACCTTGGCGCCCCGAGATTGCACATTCATGGAACTAGGTTGCACTTTCATGGAACTAGATTGCAATTTAATGGAACACAGTGGATGGGAGGTACATGGTTAATACAGACAGGAACAATTGAGTTGTACACCCTCGGTCTCCACACACACAAGATCGACCCCGTATGGCAGTGGTCGTATTTCTCGTCGGCATCAACGGAGATGAAAGCTCAATTGAAACTGTGCACCTCTCCCTCCTGGGGCACAACACAATTGCTGTCGCACGTTGCTCCCGTTTGCCACGGGCAAACGGGAGCAACGTGCGATAGGAAAACCACAGAGACGGGGGGGGGGGGACTCACCGAGGCCGTTGCTCAGGGGCGTGTGGGGGGTTTCGCGTCGCAACCGCTGGTCCCGCGAGCTGTCCGCACCGCGCATCAGAGCCGTTGACGCCGACTCCTCGTCCGAAGGCTGCTTCAAAGACGCGATGGCAGAGAGACTCGCGTCAAGATCGCACAAGGGCGGCGGCCGCGAGCCAAAACAACTTGGGAGGGAGAAACATCGCGCGGCGGGCACGGACAACGTGACCCTCTCCAACAGGCGTTCGTCTCTCGACGCGTTGAACGAGCAGCGCGGAACCCCACAGGCGGGTATATTTCAAGTCAAAACTAATTTTCATATTTGGGAGAAAGTCATTTTTGCTCTGGTTTAGGGTCACAAAGCAAAGCTTATCATTTTTACAAACATGTTATCAATTTAGGCAGCTTTTAATACGTTAAGTCCCGAATAGTAACGTGTGCTACAGTTTACTTCATACCGGATAATCTTTACAACAGTTAAAATAGTGCATAACCCCCCCCCCCCCGACAGACAGTTAGTGCAAAGCATTAAAAACATTTTCTTCTTTTTTCGGATAGGTCACACAGTGCCTTAGGTCACTGCAACGCGCTCTTTCAGATGCGCTTCTGCGGCCGTCTGGAACGCTCTTCCTTCCGATATTAGGAAGCCACCGGAGCTACGCACTTTTAAATCATCAATATTGAAAACTAATTTCTTTAGAACTGCTTTTTATTTTTAGTTTGTTGTCCTTCCCCCGAACCTCCAATTATCACGATTGGCTACGTACGGTGCGAAAGATGTTCAACATACATACATACAGGTCACAACACATTCCAGAGGCTGCCCTTGATGCTGAAACAGGGACAATTAATTATATGAATGTAAATTAAGCAGCATTCAAAAGTCACCATAAAAACGTAACATCATCTCCATTGCAAGAGACAAGGGGATGATTTTGACCGCTTCGCACAGCACATGACTGGACCACGTGAGTCTCCTCGTACTGGGCATGCATTGATCCGCTGAACTGAAGATTCAATTCAACTCCATCAACTCACGAGCTTTGAGAAGGCGGCTTAACCAGAAGTGATGGCCTGGTTCCTACCCAGAATCTCAATGGCGCAAAGCTTAGTGCGCCGAGCTATGCATTCATCCTTAATGAGTTTTTTTTTGTCACTGCATGGACCTCTATTAAAATTTCTGAAAAGATGTGAATAACAAGAGGAATTTAGCACTTCCATAAGATGACTTCCAAGAGACTTTGAATTGTGGTTCTTTGTGGTGCACGGTTGCTAAAACAACCGTCCACTAAGGTTCAGCGTGCAGATTCAAGTAAAAAACATTACCGAGCAGTTTGCTGGCCAAGCGAGGAGCGTTTTCTACTCTCTGCGCCTCCATCAGCAAGCACGCACGATGATCAAATCAAAAACACGGATGCGAGGGGTATGTATGCACCGTACAGCCAGGAACATAACACGTGGTCTGTTCAATAACACGGGTGTGTATTATGCCAGACCGCAAGCCTTACTAAAAAAAAAGTTTGCAAGCATTTCGGAGGCTACATTGTCGGCAGAGGGCAGCATGGAATTTTTTAAAAATTATATGCTAGTATACTTAACATCCACGCTCACCGGCCTTTGGACAAACCAACGCAGTGACCAGCGTGGCGTGCAGTATGGTCAAACAACCCCCAATGCCTACACGTTATGGGGGGGGGGGAGGGTGGCCCTCGTTTTCCAGAGGCACGTTGACAAAAAAAGGGGCTGTAACATGCACACACGTCATCGCCCCCTGCGTTTCATGAACAGAAATCAAACTCGCAACTCAACCCCCTTGCCTTGATGCGGTTACTACGTGCCTCGTTGCCAGACCAGCGCTTGTTGCCACTGTCGACGCTGTTGAACCCGGAATCGAGGAGTCCGCACGCCTTGTGTGGCACAAAATCCTCGGGAAGGCTGGCAGGGGAACACAAAACAGTCGAATGGTGTAAAACACACACAAAAAGACAAAGTTACGCCGTGTAGCCGACACAAGCTGCTGGGGTGAGTACTGTTAGTGAGCACCTATGAAGGCTGGCACGGCGCACGAGAGGGTGGTGCGGCAAGAACCACGCCGGCTGGCCGCCCGCCTTTGCCACCCTTGTGCTGATGTTTACACACCACACCAGGTATTCATTTGAAACCGAGTCAATCTAAGGGAGGTCCAGGAGCGGTACACGCAGGTATCCCTCGATTTGCGAACGTATATTTTATTAAATTACGTGTTCACACAGTTGACAAATTATGGACACTTTTCGACTAACGACATCGAATTTCCTGCGCCAACACAATTTTACTATGGCCACACGCCACGAGATTAAACAAGAAGCACCCAGGAGGCTGCCTCATCCATCCGCAATAGCGTCAAGATGTCCCTATAGTGCAAGAGTGACGCCTCCACATCGCCTTCACATTCATTCCAACATGCAGCAGATCTAAAATTTAGATTTAAAGCTTTCGTGACTGCAGTAATTCATATTCTTGGTTCTTTCGGTAAAGTCACGTTGAAGGGAAACAATAAAATAATAAAATATATATAAAACAATAAAAAACAATAAAAATTCTCACGATGTTTCGACCATAACACAAACGGTCGTCATCAGGTGTGTCGGTTTGCATAAATGTATTTATTTTTAAACGTGTAAAAATAAATAAATAAATTTGTGCAAACCGTCGCACCTGATGACGACCGTTTGTGTTATGGTCGAAACGTCGTGAGAATTTTTATTGTTTTATATATATTTTATTATTTTGTTTCCCTTCAACGTGACTTTGCCGAAAGAGCTAAGATTACGCAGATCTGTTGGAGTTTTAAATTAATTATTATTCAATTTTTTTAAGATTTATGTTCTTCATTAATTAAAAATATATATTGTGAATAGTGATATAGGTGGTAAAAATGTTTAGGTTAGTAGCAGAGTTGAAATTACTGTCCGAAATACATTCCTAATTTTTTGTATTAAATGAATGGGAAAAGCCAAATTTAGATTAAAAAAAAATGCATTTTAGGCGTGTTTTTTGAAGAGTGCATCGCTTTCATAAATCGAGGGATACCTGCAAATAAATCGCACACTGGTTATGGCTAAGAATAAAACTGAAATTCACAGCACAATGCACCAACCACTCCACCACTGCTCCCCACCCCCGCCACAAAAACACACAGAGCAGATGTCATGCCAAATATTTCACGAGTATTTTTCAAAAATAAATTAAGGGGAGAGTTTAAGCGATTGTTGCGCGGGCGGATATCAAATTAACGCCAATGCAGCAAGCTTCGAGCGTCAAGCCCTGCCGAATTGAATGACAATTCCGGCGCCCAGCGCACGCGCCCGCTTGCTCCATCACTCACCATGTGGAGGAGCCGGCAGGCCTGATCAAGCGATCGGCTAGCTTCTTATCAAGCTTGCACGCCTCCATGTGAAGGTACTTGAAAATGTGATGCTTCCCCTTGATGCATATCTGCGAGAGACACGGCAGGGTCGCGCGATAAACAAATGAGCCCGTACGTTGTTTTGCATCGCTTTGCATGGGACCTCGATAACAGACGACGTCTTTGCTTCTTCAACAGTGTCATATTTAGAAGGGCAGACCGGCCTATAACACACTAGAGGGGCCAGGGCAGCGAGCAGCACCACTAGAATTGGCAAATATATATGGTTACAAGCATCTGTATATGGCAATTACAAGTGGAGTGTGTGGTGACAAGCTTTTAAAACAAGGTTATTGCATTATCCACTTTGACTATTTTGGTGATTTAAAGATTTTACTAACAAACACGCAGAGCAGATGATTTAAATATTTTAGTAACACTTAAGCTTTGCCATTTTTGGTTCTGGCCCATGGACCAACACCCACTCTGACTTTCAAATTTTAGCATTTCTATCATTTGTAGATAGAGATTCAACCTACATTTGCAAACCCTTAAATTTAACAAGGAGCCGACAGCCCATTGAGAACCAGGTCGGTATACAGGAAGAACCAGGTCGGGTAAAGACAATGTATTGCATATCACAACACTGCAAAGAATAATTTTAGAACACGTTCAAACTAAAATGGGTAACAGAAAGCATGAATATAATAACGGCGTAAAAGAGTAAGAAATATAATTGAATTTGCACACACACATTGGGAAACAAACTTAAATAATGAAAAACAAGAATGTTGTAATTCGTGTACATTATCTGCTGGGAAATTTGCATCAGAAACAAACATTGACAAAAGAATATGAACGAAAGCCGGATTATATTGGAGGCGCACGCTTTAAACTACAGTACACCGAGGGACGTGAAGAGGAACACGTGGACTAGAAAACAAACACATTACCGGCATCGTACCGGCTGCTAAGAAAAGTAGTTAGGCTTGGGCAGGACACGTGACTCAATGAACTGCTGGCCAGTGGGCATCCAAATCGATGGAGTGGCATCAAAACGAGAGAAGGCGCCCGAGAGACGCCCCTCGAAAACGGAGCGATGAAATCAGCTCTTGTGTGGGTGCTAGATAGATTGTTACGTCGCAGGACCGTGAGAAGTGTTGGAGGCTTGGGGAGGCCTTCATTCAGCAGTGGATTGATCATGGCTGATGATGGTCATGATAAAAAAATACTAGGTTTTACCCTTTCTGGCAATAAAACAGGTAAGATGTTATCAGAGGATGTTTGGTTGCATGTTCACCACAACTACGTGTGGTTACTGCAGTACTTGATTCCTTGCAAAACGGTATCTATTTTGTTTAACACGTAGGCCTTTCGCGACCAATATCATCCATAAGAGGTTTTTTGGGGTAGATCGCGTAAATATATGTTGTTAAACCACATAAATGTTGTGGCTTGGCTCTCCAACACACAACCGGCGTGCTGCACAAGTGACGAATTGGCACGTTCCGTTTACGTGACAACCCTTACGAGTTGGCTGTCGGGTAGTGGCGGGTTTAACGACACATTCATATATTTACGCGATCTAACCCAAAAAACCTCTATTATGGATATCTATTTTGTGTTTGAATATCTTAACACCTGTTTTATTTCCAGAAAGGGTAAAACCTATTCTTATGTTTCCTACTTTGTTACTGGAAAAAAGGTCCCATGATATGATATCATATGGCATTTATTTACTCAAATCGTAAATCCATCCATTCAAACACCGCGTTTCCAAGCAACGCTTTTGGACTCGCTCTCGGCTCGCCACAAGGACTCGACGGCATTCCTCTCGCCGATGCCAGGCCTTCCGGTTTTTCCAGCCAGCGTGTGTGCCGACACGCACCTGTGCCGGCGGGCTTTTCATCGGGTTGTTGTCCAGCACGAGACTCTGCAGCTGCTTCAGCTTACGGAAGCTCACGGGGATTTCGCCCAGGCGGTTACATGACACGTCCAACTGTACCAGGGGCAAGTCCGCGATTTCTGTTGGGGGGCGCGGGGGGGGGGGGAGAGAAGGGAGTGTGGGTTCCCAGCGCCATGTGAATGGGTAAAAAACAATAAAATGACCACCGTTATCTTTGATGGCGTTTGTCTTGCTTTCCCCCGTGGTGGCGGTCCTTATCATCGGTTTTGACGTCAACGTGGTTCGCAATGGTTTGCCGTTTCGAGATGCAATTTGCGCGGGTGTTGTAATATACAGATTACAGATTAATGTAACGTTGTGTATATTGAGATACAAAGTTACTAATTACTTTGGAGGTGTGCAATTTGGATACGCATTACAGACCCCACATGAGTGAGACAAATGCGTGGAAGAAGAAACATTAAAATAACACGTGATTTAGACGTTACTAGTCTGTCTGGAGGAGGGTTACGCGTTTGTGATGGCAGAAAACCCTTTCCAAATTGACAAGGGCTCAGTAGAAATGGCGAGTAACACATCACAATTCCCGGTGGCGCGTGGCCTGGACCAGACAGAAGGTGAAGGGTGAAATGTGCATTCATGTCAATCGAGAGGTGGGATATTTACAGCTCGTTCAGTTTGTTAAAATATACAAAGTGCGTCCTTGGAATACCAAGATTATTCGGGGGTGGAGTGCTCCACTATACATCAGTTATGTACGCAGAGACCAACATATATTGGCCATTTACAGCTTGTATTGGCCATTTACAGCTTGTATTGTGTATAGAAAAAGTTAAAAATAGCAGTGAAGCCAACAAATATCATGTGCCTTTTCTGGAATGCACAATCCATTTTTTTCTTAAACAATGCAGTGAACAACACGCTTTTATTGGTGGAAGGGGTCATGTGACTCAATTACATGTGACGCATTCAAATCACATAAATGTGCATAGGCATGCACTAGTTTCATGGCTAGTCCTCACTGGCCAGTTGACCTGCTGTTTGCCAAGCGTCCTCTACAAAATAGACCATTACGCTGAAAATAAACACGGTATCTTTTTACGTAAATATATTTATTTTGTCACGTATCCGCCTTGCAAAAAGACCTCCCCTCCACCTCCACCACCCCCCCCCACCATCCCTGCGCACCCCCCCCCCCCCCACCATTTCTGTTCACGCACGACCGCGCAGCTGACTGAGGCCGTCGCCGGAGCGCCTAACGAGCTTGGAGGGGCCTCTATTGAAGCGTAAGCGGTGCGCTACCGTCGGGCAGGATGACGAGATTGTTCCTGCGCACGTTGAGGTCACGGAGGCACGTCAGGCTCGCTACCTGGGGCGGCAGCGCCTGGATCTCGTTGCAGCTCACGTCCTACCAACAACACACACGTGATGGGCCGTCGGGACGAGCGAGTACTCGGACACGCGCCGCCGCAGCAAGGACGCACGCACGCAGACACTCACACACGCACAACCGTCCAAACACGAGGGTGAATGTGCAGGGAAAAACCGGAGAACCTGGAGAAAAATCCACGTGACCACGGGGAGAACATGCAAACTCCAAATATATAGGCATCAGGATCGGAATTAAACCCATGACCTCCTGCATACCAGGCGAGGCTGTTAACAACTTGCCACCGTGGACACAAAGACACACAGAGGGAGATCATCACAACGACGCGCGGGCACACACACACATAGTAGAGGTGGCGGATAATGCACATACGAGGACATAGGCACGTTTGGACACCAAGGTACCCATGGAGGAAAATGAGTGATGTGGCAACAGGAAAGTGAAGAAAAACACATGGAAGGGAACATGATGGGCCACCGGGGGCCAATGCGAACTGGAGTTTGACACGGCAATGGTGATTGCTGACGATATCACTTCGCTGGGCCCGTCTGGTTTTCTTTGCCGCACAATTCATTTTACAACGGGTGTGCTCTGAAATTAATTTGCCAAGTGGGGTGGGCACAGTAGAAGCATTAATCGCTGTGACAAAAATGGCTCCGTTTGAAGAGTACAACCAATAAATTGCATCAAGATGACGGATTTATGGCATGCGCGCGTGTGACCAGGCGTAATCCGTGCTTAGCGTGCTGTCCGGGAAACGTAGCACTCATTTATATTTGCTGTGCATCGAATCCACTTCTGTCAGCCGAGATGCTGTTTATTGAACCTCACTGTAGAGAGGAACAGAGCCTTGTGCAGACATTTCCCTTTTTGAACGCTGCCTGTGCGGCGTCACAATGGATCACGCCGATCACAGCCCAATGAACCTCAAATGAAACCTTTCTCCTAGAATTCTACACATCCGGCGATTGAAAAACATGACATGACAAGGCTCTGGGTTCCCACCCCGAGGCCACCTTGTTATGTCCGCCAAATAAAGCGGCGAAAGCAGAAACTTATCACTTTAAAATGCCTTCGTTGGTTTTGCTGCAAGTAAATTGTTGTTTGTTAGAGGGCGCAGTTAAAAAAAATAACACTGGAACGCAAAGTAAGCACCGCATGCAAAAGAGCGGGAAATGCATGCAAGGAATCTGTAACTATGCTAGACACTGCCTTTGTGGCTTGGTTTGGTTCTGCCTTGTGCATTGCCTTTGGGACGTTTACGGAGATCAATCGTTGGACCTTTCTGGGGATCGACGATTAAAATAAGGTTTTGCACCTTGGCGAAACTGATTATTGATTTTAATGAACGCATTGACATGATAGAGGCAAAATAAAGCGCTGTCCATGCAGCATTGATGTCTTCCCTTAATGCTCAAGCTGAAATTCAAACCGTAAAATATTATATTTTTCTTAACTTTAATCTAGGATGGCTTAACCTTCGCTGCACCTGCTGCAGGTGCAGAGATTAAAGTAGCGACGCAATGTGGGTAACTGGTTGGGGAAGTGAGGTGGTGGGTGTGGGCACTAAAACTCCCTGTGAGCGTTTTCGTAGCCCGAGTCGGGAATTGCGAGTGGGAGTTAAAGACGAATCCAGCGGACGCCACCACGGACAAAGAAATAATAAAGAGAAGCAGGCGACTGGAAATGTGAACAGCGGTTGAATAGATATGTAGACAGATTTGTTAGCTGGCAGAGACATATTGAAATTGGAAAATAATCACAGCCTCTTCCAAGAAAGTAGTCCATGTGCGCAGACCACACATTTTACTTGCGACCACCTGAGATGGCAAACGACGACACTCACCAGCGCCGAGAGCTCCTTCAGTTGCCCGAGCTCCTCGGGCAGTGACACCAGCTTGTTGTTACTGGCATTGAGAACCTGCAGTGGCAGCTTGCACAGGTAGGGCGGGAGCGTCGTCAGCTGATTCCGGCTGCAAGGCCAAAGCCGAAACGGGAGAATTTAGTTTAAAATTTTAGGGCCTAAGAATGAAACACGTACGGAGCGCGTAATCAAAAGCAAAACCACCGTGCCAACGAAAACACATGTGCGAGACAGAATGTAATGTCATGGCCAGAGGCCTCTGCGAGACATGTCAAATGTGAGTAAAACCTTCTTTCTATGTGCCCAGACAATTCTAACTACGCAGGCAGGTACAAAGGCTCCGTTAAAGCCCCGCAGCTCTTCGCAAACACAATTCGTCTCCAACGGCTGGCTTTTGCATTTAAGACGGTACCGCGACAACTCAAAAAGACTGCAATATTAACGGCGATAGTTAAAACATCTGGAATGTAATCATTATTTAATATTTTATATACACTTCCATACATGCCGTAGAATCTCAAAGCACACGGGCACACATAGGTTTTAACTAAAAACATACAGCAGCAAAAAAATGCACATTCGTCAATAACACTGCCTTTAAAGGAAAAATGTATATGATAGATGACGTTTTTGCCAACGGCCCCTTCTTCATAACACATTTATTTATGTGGTCAGTTATAAGTGAGGAAGGGTGATGTAGCAGAAGGGCCACTGTCCCAAGTATTGCAAATTATACAGTTTAAAACACGTAGGCTTTTCACGACCAATATCATCCACAATATAGCTTTTTTTGGGGTTAGATCGTATAAATATGAACGTGTCGTTAAACCCACCACCGTCCGACAAAGCCAATTAGTAAGGGTTGTCACGTAAACAGAACGTGCCAATTCGTTACCAGTACAGCACACCGGTGTGTTCGAGAGAAAATCCACAACATTTAGAATCTTGCTCTCCAACACACATTTACAATTACAGCAGATTGTAAATGTTGTGCATTTGCTCTTCAACACACAGGTGTGCTGTACTCGTAACGAACTGGCAAGTTCTGTTTCCATGATAAACCTTACTAATTGGCTGTGTCGGGTGGTGGCGGGTTTAACAACACATTTATTTTTACGCGATCTAAAAAAAAACGATGTTATGGGCAAATGATATAGATTTTTCTTTTAAGGCCAGTGTTATTCATAAATGTGTTGGTATTTTTTTTTGCTATTTGTGCTTGTGCACCACCAGACAATACAGTATCACCAAATAATTTCTGAATATATCTCTTCCTGCCATTTCCTGCCTCTAAGGCACATCCGGCAGGATTAATGTAAAAAAGGCATCAAACAGGAAACAGCGATAGTAGATTCCATACTCCAGTAGCGCAGTCTAGCAGATTCTGGACATGCATGATGCGAGCGTGCAATACGATGAGAATTCAAGCGCCAGTGTAACGTCACTCCTGAACGCGCCATGACGATCGGGAAAACAGGTTTTTGCTCGGGTTAGTCTGCGAATACTTTGGGAAGATACAATCTGTTCGCTGATGGAAAAAAAATCAACAAAGCACCCTATTTTGTCAAATCTCGGAAGCTAAGCATGGTTGCACCTGGATATTCCTTGGATGGGTGACCATCATGCACAACTGGCGTCGTAGGCTGCCACGGGCTCACGTTGTCAAAAAAACAATGGTTGTACTCTACCATGCTCCCAACATCTACGGTTCCCGCTCTCACCAACCCGTACTGACCACCATGGTGATGTTCGGTCGTCAAATAACAGTTCGGACCCACATAGCGTGGGGAAGCCCTAATGCAGCAATGGATTGACAAACGGCTGTAGGTGTACACTCTGTTCATTTGGCAAGAGTGGGCAAGTGTCAAATCCAGCCTTAACATGGGCTCACAATGGCCTCCTACAGAGGACATCATGGGGTCTTTTATACATCGACTCAAGCAAGCAGATGGTTGCTTACAGTGAATCGTAAACATCGTTAGTGTACATTTATATTGGACTGACATTGGTTTTGAACCCTGGACTTACTGCTGCGCAAGCCACACATTTAAATGGACTTCTCTTTCACATGTCCACATAATAAATGATGTCTCTGTCCCATAAAAATATATTTGGGTTTCCCAGACCAATATTGTACATGCACAGACCCTTTGGTAACGCCACCGTTGCATGAGAAACTCCCAACGTTATTGTCAATTGTGAGTGTTATTTGTACAGCACAACTTTACTGTATTCTGCAGATTATAAGACTCACTTTCCTTCTATTTTAAAGCAAAAATCAGGGGAGGGTGTCTTATCATGTGATAGGTATATATATATGTGACCAGATTTGTATATATTTTTTTATAGCCAGTGGGCGGGAGTCTGGGGTGCCTCTTACTTTTTGGAGCATCTTAAAATACGGATAATACGGTAAACATATAAATCACCAAGACATATGTAACTGTAACCACACACCCAATGTCCCAGCACACAGGTCCAGATCGATTGTTGTGATAATCAGCGATTGTTGACTAAACTATATTTTTTATTTTACCAGGGAAAGCCCACCGAGCTATACAGCTCTTTTTCAAAAGCGAACTGGCCACAAATGATAGCTCAACCAAGCGGCTCATTATGTGGAAATTTATAGCAGCCAAATACTCTTAAACGCACGTTTATTCTAAATGTGGAGGAAAAAAATCTGAGGACCAGGAGAAAAATCCATGCGACTATGGGGAGAGAGAAAGACATGGAAAAACTCCAGATATACAGTAGGCGTCAGGGTTGGGATCGAACCCATGACTTTCTGTATACCAGGCGAGGTAGTTAAGATCTCCTAGCCACCATGGCGCCCCTAGATTGCACTTTCATGGAACACAGTGGATGGGAGGTACATGGTTAATACAGACAGGAACAATTGAGTTGTACACCCTCGGTCTCCACACACACAAGATCGACCCCGTATGACAGTGGTCGTATTTATTGTCGGCATCAACGAAGACTAAAGCTCAAGTGAAACCGTGCACCTCTCCTCCTGTAGCACCGCATAACTGCTGTCGCATGTTGCTCTGTTTATCATGGGCTGCAACAAAGAGACAATGATAACGTTGCACATGGCTCTGCACAGCGCAAGTTTGTTTTGTTGCACATTCGACACCCGTTTTTATTGGCTGGAAGGGATCACGTGATCAACGACACATCTAAAATGGCTGTATATTAATATGGATATTACAGCGTGAAGATGTTTTACAAGAAAAATTGATAAAAAAATAAATGTAAAGACACATGTACTTATCTTAGCCATTTACCTTGGTATGTTTAATGTGCATATAATGAACTAAAATGTCTGGTTATTTGTTACATTTATAGGCTGATGACATAACTTTATCAAGACAGAGGCTCCCAAAAGGACATGTGGGAGGGTGTATGGCACAGTTTGGTGCCAGCTATCGGAGTGTGCGGTCGTGTTGCTACAGTTCTCTGCGGTGAGCACAATGTCTTTAAAAACAACGGCGTTACGCCTCTAAATAAAATTAATGCTGAACCGCTTGAGCGTTCCGAGTTTCAGCGGTGAACGGGATACCCCAACCCCGCAACTTGCAGATGTCTCGGAACGGGAAAGGGTTGACAATGGCTCGAGTGGTACAGAAGAGACACGAACAAATTGCAGCCCTCGACGCGGAATGTCGCGCTGAAACATTGGAATCACGTGAACAAAATCGAGGACGGCAGAGGAGAGTCGAGTAGTGGCACGCGAACGCTCGGGCCCCCACCTTATGTTGAGATACGTGAGCGAGCGAAGGTTGACGATGGCCTCGGGGATGCTGCGGATGCAGTTGTGGTAGAGCACGAGGCTCTCGAGAGACACGAAGTGGCACACCTCGAGCGGCACCTCGTTCAGCCTGTTCTTCGACAGATCTGTAGGGGTGGGGGGGGGCACGACGGAGAACAAAAAAAAGACGTTGAAATCCCAACGAGCGCGCGGGCCCCGATCTCGAAAAAACAATCAAAGCTGAGAGCCAGTGGTTAGTATTCGTGTCGGGGAGGCTTCCTTAGAAAAGCAGGTACGTATTTATGTATGTGTGTACGTTGAACTTCTGTCGCACCATACAAAGCCGACCGTGCTCATCAGAGGTGCGGGGGAAGGCCAACAAACTAAACACAAGAAGCAGTTCTAAAGAAACAAGTTTTAAATGTAGATGATTTAAAAGTACATAGCTCCCAGTGGCTTCCTAATATTGGAAGGAAGAGCATTCCAGACGGCTGCAGGTGGGTGTTGGTTTTGATTGCGAGGCGACCACGAGATTTAAATACGGCAATAGATTCTTGAATCTATCTGTACGGAAGTTTGAGCGTTATCCCCTCCATACTCGTGGCTTATCGCTGGGCACTTAAATTTCCTCCCACACAATGGCAAAAACCCGTTAATCGCATTGGCCAAACATCCCCATGCAGAAATCTCTTGCAAAGGAGTCTTGAGACATGTCTGTATTGTTTTTTTTATTACGTAAAAATATAACAAAAAAGTATATAAAAGAAAGTTGGAGAAAATAAAACAACACTGAAACAACTGACAATCAAAAGCCAATTGTGGAAGGCACAAATTCAATGCTCGAGTGGTGCCTTTACAATCCGCAGGACTAAAACGGGACTGACGGAAGTGTGACGTGGCCAACAATACGTCGGCAATGATCTGCACAATGTTCACTTTTTTGGGTCTAGAGGAGGCGGCTTGAGATTTAAAAAAAATGTTGCTATCTTCTGCAAACCTCCCCAAAACCATTAATTGTACTGAGAAACGGTATATTTTCCCAGATTAATCTAAAGGGCACACTGTACCAACTGTGGATGTTTTGCGCGAATAGAGGTAACGACCTATCCCACCCGACAGCAAGCAACTCATTACTCGCTCTCCCATTCTGAAAACAACAACTACAACCCCCTTCCTCTGGTCCGACACTGCCCAGAAATCTACGTTGTGCTCTTTCTTCCGCTTGATCGCGCCGTTTTCGCAGGCGTTATGTACAACCACCCCACCCGCCTCAGCTACATCGTGATGAATGAATGATGGGGAACAGGTTCAAATGAAAGGTGAACTATGAACAATTGTTGTGGGATTTTTTTTTGTTCTGGTGCAATGTGGTGTGGGGAGGAAGGAGGGATCAGTGTCGGATATTACGATCTAGTTAAGCTTCTAAGGAACACAGCTGTTTCCGAATCCTTTCCCAAAACAACGCAAGCGGATGATGAAAAGCTTCTAACAGTGGCACACAGTGGCACGCAGTTTCACGCACGAACACTTCTGCAACAAAGCCTTCCAATTATTTTTTAGGGAATTAAATTGAAATCTCTGCTCCAAATCACAGTAACAGTATCCCACGGACACTTATAGTTAGATTATTCTAGTGTTGTGAATTCTGTGCGCATCAAGGAATTTTAATTAAGCCATCGCCGAACCTGATAATTTTATAAACTGCTGTGACTAGAGGCATGCTAATTAAGCCATCGCCGAACCTGATAATTTTATAAACTGCTGTGACTAGAGGCATGATGATTCAATAGCAAATTTGTATCATATCCTATGGAACTCAGAGCATGCATGTATGTGTGCGCACAACTTTAGTAGGTACGCAGCCAACCGTGCTAATCGGAGGTTCGGGGGAGGTGCTGCACAATCGCATCATGTGCTTAACAATTGATATGAAAGAACGAATCAATGGACCATGGCGATTCCACTTTAGTTTGAACACATGCATAACCCACTCTCTTTTATTAGGGGGCACCACCTTAGTAGTTACTCCACAAGCTTTCTCTACGGGGCCCTGAATTGCAGCAGCAATCTAAAGCAGTGCGGTTCACGGCTCTGGAGCTCCCTCGGTGAATGGGCACACCAGCGGTATCGCTGTGGTAATATCTGCCACCCTCGTTACGCAAACTATGGGACTTCAACACCAAAGTTATCTGCGAGCTACTGTGGCTCCATGGGGGACTGAAAAAAGTGTGCCGTTTGAATTCCCCGGGTTCCACGCGTGATTCGGTGAACATGACTCTCCACCACAACCTACACAGCATGACATTAGAATTTCCATCCCAATGCGTTTGGTAAAGTTCATAAATAAAACTGAACTGTTTTTATTTTACTAGGCAAGGCCCACGAAGCTATGTAGTTTTTGTTCTGAAGCAACCTAGCCACAAATAATAGCTCAGCAAAGTGACTTATCGGGTTCGAAATTTATTGCAGCAAAATACTCTAAACGCATGTTTATAAATGCGGAGGGAAATACAGGAGGACCCGGAGAAAAATCCATGCGGCTACAGAGAGAACATGCAAACTTCAAATAGAGGCATCAGGGTCGGGATAGAACCCACGACCTCCTGTAAACCAGGAGAGATATTTAACATCTCGCCACCGTGGCGCCCTTAAATCGAGGGAGGTGGCTGGAAAACTGGGGTTATGACATTGAGACAGCACTGCTAATATGCTGTGTTCGAAACTGGGTTTCAATCACCTACGATACAACCAGTTTCAAGTGTAGGGAGATGTTGGTCTCAGCTCCATCACTAATGACGGCACAAAAAAAGTCACTGCATTACATTTGGTTCTGCACTTCACCGGAGGTAAATAACATTTCTGGAAATTAAATATATTAGTTTGACAGTCATGCTTAATAATCTCATCGCAGAGTGTATGGGAAACTGTGCTTTCTTCTGTTTGAAGGATACAAATTCCACTTGAAAAATCTATCATAAATCCTGTGAAAAATCTCTTCCACGGCTGTTGTCCTACACATGGAGTGATGCACTGCTCTGTAATATTTCTGAATGGATTTATTGATCTTTACTCAATGTTAAGAGCACAATTGGAATAAACAGAGCCAAAAACAAACAATGAAAATTAAGATTTTTACAAATGCAGAGAGGTTTGTAAACATAACACCCACATTAATGATAGGTTCTGCTCTCATGAAAAGAAAGCTGTGATTGCAGTACACTGACAACATTCAGCAGCACGGTTTCACGCACAAACATAACCCAAGCAATGGGCATTCAAATGCTCAAGATCGCAGCAATGAAAGAAAAAATAACATTGACCTACCGGTAATGTTAAACGGAATAAGAAATCCAGGGTTTTTTCAAAATTATAAAAGGAATTAGTCATTGTCACTTAAGAGTAAGAATTGACATTTCCTGCGGACGGCCAGTTGACCAAACCATTAAGATAGTTATTTAATCCGAGTCAGGATGAAAAAACATGCAATTATTTTGATTAAGCAGTTATGCATTGTATAAGTTCACTGAAGCAGCAACTTTACACTAGAGCATTACCCTTTAGTTTTACGATTCTAATAATATGAATTTAGAGAACTAAGGCTATGCGCCATTAAACAGAAAAATAAATTACCCAGAGTTGATTTCTAATGTATTGTCGTTAAACCATATGGACCAGAGACCGTTGATGTTGTGTGCTCTCAAAGGGCCTCTCAAAGTGAAACGCACAATAAATGTTAATCGGGGCATCAACTGTGACGCCCCCAGATAACATTCTGTATGGTTGTAATTAAAAGAGTCAAGAGCCTGTACATAATTATTGAGACACGTCAGATCGCATCACATCTCTTTCTAAAGCATCTCTCAAAACATGCAGGCTTTGCTTGTTTAACCAAGATTGTATCATCGACAACAAAGAAAACATCGAGTTTGTTATTGTTTCCACTTGGGCAACACAGCCTGTTGGCCTAAATCTCTCTCTCTCTCTCAAATGCAGCCTTGGCATGTTTCATAAATGTTTCCAGGACGCACGACCAAGTGGCGCCTTTGTCTCCAGGTGATGCTCAGGGTAAAAGATCTACACATCGCATGTCGCGTCTGTTAGGTTATGTGCGACATTTAAATCCTACTCTTCGGCACAAAGGCTTGAGACCAGAGGTACAATACTCTCGTATTTCCAACACGCACAATTTATAAATGCACATCCCACACTAAACTTACATGCACCGGTGATAAGAATTATTATCCATGTCCCAGATATGTGGATCGGAGCACCCTATTTTAATTTCCTTGGATTCTCGTTACTGGTTGTTTTGCTGCTGTAAATGTATATAAATTGGCTACACATGCATGTAGACAAACACAGGCTGTGTTCATGGGATAATGAGAATATCAATTCAAACAAGCCATAAGCTTAAAACCCTGTGTTGTGACAACTTTCGCAATGGTTAGGGCGACCGCACTATAAATCCTGCGGCTTGAGTTTGATTATTGGTGGCAGCTAGGATCAGTGGCAAGTGATATCTAAACTGGTCATACCCCCCCCCCTCTCATCGCCCCTTCACCACACCCCACACTGACCAATGTGGTGAAGTATGGTCAAACAAAAAGGGTGGGTGAGGCCTTCATCCAGTAGAGGATGACAAAGGGTTAAAACATAGAACATATTTGACTATTTTTATCTTCTCAATGTTCCAAGAATGCTGAAGTATATTCGGCATCATAAAAAAACAACAGCGCAGTTTTAAAAATGGAAATCTGCAAACCCTCACACTCAGACTGCAAAGCAGTCTGCGCTGTTATTCAATACAATCGCACTGACGTACGCACGCTGGCACGAGTAACCGGCCAGCCACTGCTATTAAATTTGGCACAAACACTCGGGCCGCTCGGCTGCCATGCCTCCCTCGGCGATCCGCTTCAAATCGCAGTGCACCTACGAAGAGGTCGAACGAGCACACTGCCTTGGGAGCGAGGCCATCGGACGGAGGCGGCGCGATTGAAATTCGTCGCAACGTCTACTTGGTGAAAACACGTGCGTGCACCCTCGCGACCCACTTTGCTGCCATGGTCACGGGCGCGAGCGCGCACGTCAGCGGTGCCAATAGCGGGGTTGGGGGGGGGTATTCAAATCACGCTCGGCGATTCTT